CAATCTGGATTAGAAAGAGCAGAGAGGATGGAGATTCCTATGATAGATCTTGATGAACTCCATGGTGAGAAAAGGAGCAAAACAATGGCACTACTGCACGAAGCTTGTGAGAAATGGGGTTTCTTTCAGGTTAAGTGAATAGGATTTTCTCGATTTGAACTGATAGTGTGATTTATGCTTTGTTCTAATACTGAAGTTGCAAATATCTGCAGGTTGATAACCATGGAATTGACAAGAAGCTGATGGAGAGGGTGAAAGAGTTGGTCAATACATATTATGATGAAAATTTGAAGGAAAGCTTTTATGATTCTGAGATAGTTAAATGCTTAAAGAACAAAGAAAGTATGTCTAATATGGACTGGGAAAGCACCTTTTTCATTTGGCATCGCCCCACATCCAACATCAATGAAATTCCGAACCTGTCAGAGGAATTCTGGTGAGTTAATATAATGCTTAACCTGCCGAGTTGCTTTACAGTTTAGTGTAAAAATGACGCGTGACTGAAAACCATGTATGCTTTGCAGTAAAACAATGGATGAATACATTGCTCAACTGATTAAGCTCGCGGAAAAGCTTTCTGAGCTCATGTGTGAGAATCTTGGCTTGGAGAAAAACTACATCAAGGAAGCATTCTCAGGATCGAAAGGTACTGCGGTGGGGACAAAAGTAGCAAAATACCCTGAGTGTCCTAATCCAGAGCTTGTGAGAGGACTCCGAGAACACACCGATGCTGGTGGGATCATACTATTGCTCCAAGATGACCAGGTCCCTGGCCTTGAGTTCCTGAAAGATGGAGCATGGGTACAGATTCCGCCATCCAAGAACAACACCATCTTTGTTAACACAGGTGACCAAGTGGAGGTATTGAGTAATGGTGGGTATAAAAGTGTTCTGCATCGTGTCATGGCAGAAAATAATGGAAGCAGACTTTCCATTGCTACATTCTACAATCCTGCTGGCGACGCACTCATTTCTCCAGCTCCCAAACTATTGTACCCCAATCAATACAGTTTCCAGGATTACCTGAAGCTTTATTCAACCACAAAGTTTTCGGAGAAGGGTCCGAGATTTGAGTCCATGAAGACAATGGCTAATGGGCACCATAATCTCCATGTCTAAAAGTACCACTTACTTGGGTTACCCTGAATTGCTCACTCCTGGTTTGTTTTTTAAGTTTTTTCAGTTTTCTTGCCATGTTTCCTACAGTAAAAGATGAACTATATTTTCCTCCTGCAAGCAAAGAAGATTCAGTTTTTATAATTCTAATAAGATAAAAGAAAAATAATGCTTCCTTTCATTTTTTTTTTATTTCAATAATTTTCTTGAAGACTGTAACGTTGCTCTGCTAGTTCAGGACTCTAGTAATGATACCAGTACCACTAACAGGTCATAAAGAAATACAGATTATCAAGAAGGTTCATGGAAGAATAATTATACCTAATATTAGAAAGTTTAGTTTCTTTGACCAATATTTTAACCAACTTTACCATAAACCAGTTGCCAAAGAAAGTCATAGCAAGTAGCTATTTCTTCTCTTATTTTACAACATTAAAAATTCCATGAAATATTTTCTTTGCAATGCTTTTACTCAGTTGACTTTCTTTTTAAGTGTTTGACACCCCAACAAAAATAAATAGAAAAATAAAAAGAAAAGACCGAAAGAAACAAAGATGCTTTCATTACATAAATATTTCGTGGCATAACTTGGACTGCATGATGGCTACATCTCCTTATGCAGAATTATGTTAAGCAGCGGCCCTGTATCATGAATAGAACTGAGGTCACAGACTGGGATTTTGCCAATATTATACAATCCTCTTGTATTTTAAGATGACAGATAGTAACCTTGGCTCCTCCTCTTATAATAGTACCTCATATCACATTTGTAAGTGTTGCATTAACTGTTTTGTCGATGTTGTCAAGTGGTTATTGGTCTAAACACAAGTGTATACAAAACAACCAAGAGTTCCAAGACTAGCACTTACAGCTAATGTGGAAAAAGATTTGAGTTCGAACATGGCCAGTGGCTCAACATTCAAAAAGTTCTGAATGAGATCTGAAGAGAATTCCCCTTTTATGTCCTCATATGCCGACTGTCAGCTACAGGTATCCACTAAAAATTAATGGTAGAAAATGGACCTGGTCAAGCGGTTTCTCTCCGTTTCTATTCCGGTGTGGCTTGAAGCACATCTTCCGTTCTTGATTCCCACTCCCTCGACACTTTGCCTAGCTCTATTAGGAAGTGCCACTTCCATTGCTGTGTGGTTTTAGGCGCCTCTCTCTTTGCTTTTATCGAGTGCCTATTGTTCTGCAACTTCTCTGTCAAGTTCTAATCTTTTGGCTTATGAGATTAAACACAATAGTTAAAGACTAGCTAATCTTGATAATATAGATTTTGTAACAAGAGTATTGGTGCACTCAACTGCTTCAGTTAATACATTCTTATGCGACTTCAATAGTGAAGCACATTTACTGACCAAACATAACAAGAAGTTCCCAAATTTTAGAGATTTGGAAAACCTTTCAGCCATTTGCCTAACATGGTAAACAAGACAATCAACTGAATCCTGAGTTAAGTGAACGTTGTGATTTAAGACGTTCTGGAAGAGGTTAAACAATGATTCTGTCCATACCAATTCATTGGAGACAAGATATTGGTGACATGGAAGCAAGATGAAGCTCCTCTCCTCCTCTCCTCCACAAAGCAGCTTCTGGCAGTAGGCAGAAACATGACCTGGGTGCAAGCATTCCCTTACAATCCTAGTAATCACATCACAGATTGGGTTATTGATACCCTCCCTTCGCAATACAAGTGGAAACAATAATCCGTGTACAGAAGCCCTCTGATGGAGCTTGCAGTACTCCATTGTCGAAGTCACCAGCAGACGAGAAGCTGGCTCTTCTATAACCAAAAACTTGGGAAGCACAATTGAGCAGAGAACCTGACTTGGCCAAGCCAGCTCTTCTTCATCCCCACTTGAAAGATGAGAAATCAGCACTGAAGCAGTCTCATCCTCCGCTTTCCACGGCTCAATCAGATTCAAAACGTGCAAAGAATCCCTTCCTTTATCCAAGCAAAGTTGGCGAATTTCATTTGCTAAAGCTACTGCTTTCAAACTAGATTCAAAGTCCATAACCCTGCTTCTCAAATCAAGAGCCATTTTTTCAATTTCAGGTTCCAAAGGCACATTCAGAGCCTGATCCACCTCAATAGCCTCCCCAACTTCCTTCAAATCATTTTCTCCATTTTCTTCAACTTGACTAAACAAACCCTCATCCTTCTCCAAGCTATCATCACAAAGCCTCGAACCAAAATCAGCTACAGATAAAGGAAGCCAAGAGAGAACCGGATCATTACCTGAAGCTATGTCCTTTAGCCAATCCGGCAAGGACTCAAACTCTTCACCGGAGTCCAAACTAAAACCAGAAATCCACTCATTAATATTTGATTCAGACACTGCATCAAGCAGATTACGTGCGGCCATCTTCACCCAAAATTCAAGCTCCTGACTCAATAAATTACGTGCCAGCTTAGATAATTCCTTTCCATTAAACCTCTTATTCTCCGAAGCAAGAAATGACAATATTCTTGACTGAATCATACTCGGTAGAGTCTCTATAAACATGATCCTTAAAAAAAAATGATAACAACTCATTAGTCACCAAAACTAAAATGAGAAAAAAAAAAGAAAGCATCTTTTTTGTTTGAAATTTCAGGGTTTACCTTTCTGTTGTGGGAGGTGAAGAAAAAGATGAGTCTTTGACACTGGGATTGCAAGGTTTGGTAAGCAAAAAAAGGAACGAGCTTGCGGTGATTGGAGTTGTTGTTGACGATGACGATGTTGTGGCATTGAAAGATTGTTGCAGCCAAAGCGATGCTTCGGTTTCTGGTGTTGGGCTATTCATGAAAATGTCGAACAACGGGACCCATGCCTCCATTTTTCTTCTGAAGCAGAGGAAACTCCACCTTTGGAGTTTCAATGGAAAAACGCGGGAAATGGCAATACTTTCAACTGTGTAGATAGAGGACGTAAACTCTATGCCACGTGGTAGAGCTTGTTTTCTGACATGGATCGCAACATGGCATGCAGTGATTGGGAGCTTGTAGGTACTGGCTCAGAGTTGCATCTGGGTTTTTTTTTGTTTTATTTATAGAAACGCGTTTTCAACGAGTGGGACCCAACGGCAACCCGGCCCATGGCGACGCCATGGGAGGAGCCTCGAAGCATAAATCCGCAGCATATGCTTCCCGTCATCAATATGGTTTTTTGAGTTCCGAGTTTCGGCTTTGCTTAATGTTGAGACAAAGAGATTTGAGCAGTAAAGTTCAAGGATTGAAAAGATTGTCCATGTCTACGCCATGAATAACTACATTAAGCTCCGTATACAAAAAGCCGTTCATTTAATAGTCAAAATTTTACTTTAATATAATTAAGCTATGAAATTATCTTTTGATCCTTGGTAACAATGTACCTAATCTTTTGTATGTCTAAGAAAAGTGATGAAGACTTTAAATTTATAGCTCCATTAGCAACTGGAATTAGGATTGAAGACACAAGCTTCAGAGAGATGAAATTGCTAACGTTTAACCAGTAGCAGCAGATTAGATGGAAATTGTGATTTGTGAGAGTCAAAAGAGACAGAAGGCACTTTTTGTCTTTACCAAACAGAATGGCCTGGCCTTTGAACTCAACCTCAATTTTCCCTTCTCTAAACCCTTTTTCTTTGGCTGGTGGAGCAGGATTTTCTCTTTCAAAATGGAAATCAAAGCCAAAGATGAAAACAATTCCTGCAAAGAGATCACATCACAGATTGGGAAGGTAAGTCACTAAGATTCAGATGTTTACTGGTTTCTACTTTCTAACTTCTGAGCCATTAAAAGAGTTACTGACTGTTACTTCGAACATCCTTCCAAGGTACAGTAATGTGAACAAATATATGTGAACTTAATCCCGAAATTACCATTTTACCCTTTCGAACACCAAAACAGGTTAGAGGCTATCAAACTCATAAAAAGGCCAAAACAGCTCCAGAGCCCAATCTTCAAACACAGTCTCCCTTCTCCAAACTGTTCTACATTCTTCTTCGCTTGCCTTCAACCAAAAATGGGAGTAGCCAATAACATAACAGCAGTCCTCAACTTCATAGCCCTCCTCTGCTCCATCCCAATCATTGCAGCTGGCATCTGGCTAGCCTCCAAGGCGGACAACAACTGCATCCAGCTCGTCCGATGGCCCGTTGTTCTCCTTGGCTTCCTCATCCTCCTTGTCTCCCTTGCTGGCTTTGTCGGTGCCTACTGGTACAAGGAAACCCTTCTGGCCTTCTATCTTTGCTGCATGGCCATTCTCATTGGTCTCCTCCTCATCTTGCTGGTCTTTGCTTTCATAGTTACAAGGCCTGATGGGAGCTACGATGTGCCTGGAAGGAGTTACAAGGAGTATAGGCTCGATGGGTACTCGAGCTGGCTTAGAAACCATGTAGTTGACTCCAAGAGCTGGAACAAGATCAGGGCTTGTCTGGCTGACACCGATGTTTGTCCTAAGTTGACTCAACAATATATCACCGCTGATCAGTTCTTTGCCGCTCATATCACTCCTCTTCAGGCAAGTCCAAGCTCTGTTCTTTAGATCTTTACCTTTCAATTATGGCCATATTTTCTCAAATTTTCATGAATTTTTTTTATGAAAATAGCGGTACCCTTTCTAAGATTTTCATCGGTAGTTTCCAATGAAAGAGCCATTAAACAGAAAACAGAGGAGCTTATTTTGAGACAACCAAACTGGTCTTTAGATCTTCACAGTAAGAATATTGAATAAAATATAATGGCACATTCTTATTGGTTGCTGCAAAGTCCTTAGAGGAATTTAGTTCTAACAAGCATCAGATGCCTACTTTTTCTTCTGATAAATACCCCATAAATGTGTCAACTATGGATTGAATATGATATCATTTAGTTTTCAACAACAAACATTGAACTCATTTATTAAACTTAGAATCACAGACATGTCATTGTCGTTCAATAATCTGTTGTAAGCAATAGCTATTCATTTAATTTTTTCCCCAAATCTTTGTCATAATTAACTAAATTCTTTCTTTTTAAATGAAATCTTAGAACCGGAGTATTTATAAAAAAAAAAAATGAAAGTCAGTAATGTGTAAACCCTTATGTTCATCCTTACTATGTAGCTGCTGGGGTTCTTTCTTTCTCCTTTATTTTCCTGTATAACATAGCGAACAGAATTCCTCTTTGCCCCATCTTTTACTTGTTTTCCCGATGACGATTAGGTATAAGATCTTTCATGGTTATTAGTAGAATTCAGATGGCGATTGAATTATCATTGAGGTCACGCGAAGTTGCTGGAATGGGACATGACTTGATGTCTTAAACCAGGGCCCACTTCACCCTACATAATATAAAAAAGGACCTACTATTATGGGTTTGATGTTTAGTTTAGGGTAAATAATGATACCATTCATTCATTGGGCCGCCCATGAATGGATCAATTTGATCCACAAAATTATCAGTACAACTTTTTGCTATGTTTTATCATAGCTCAAATCATGGCTTTTTGATAATGCATCAGAAAGAATCAGGCACATGTTGTGTGCTGTGGGGCAAGGCCAAAGGTTCTAGTACTTTCATTTTGTGGGTTGGAGAAGTTTGTGCCAGTGAAATCAGTACCAACCAGATTAATTATTAGTATGAAATCATGGGATTTTGACCCTGTTAAAAAGTTGTCCATTTTAAATAAATTAAGGTGATGGCTTTGTCTCTGTAGTCTATTTGCAGAAGATAAAAATGCTAGTTTGTGGTTGCCAGCTTTGGCAATGTATGGTGACAAAGTGGACATTGATTTAGTGGGGAGGTGTTTCTCTTTTCTTTTCCCTTTTGCCTTTTTGTTGTTGTTTTCTGATTAGTTTAACCCTTGTTGTTCTTTTGTTTGACAGTCAGGATGTTGTAAGCCTCCCACAATCTGTGGCTACACTTATGTTAACCCAACATTGTGGTCTAATGCGGCGAACCCGACTGGGGACCCTGACTGCTATCTATGGAGCAATGACCAGAGCCAACTCTGCTATAACTGCAACTCATGCAAGGCTGGTCTGCTTGGGAATCTGAGGAGAGAATGGAGGAAAGCCAACATAATACTCATTGTGGCAGTGGTGGTATTGATATGGGTCTATATCATTGCCTGCAGTGCCTTCAGGAATGCCCAAACGGAGGACCTCTTCAGCCGCTACAAACGGGGTTGGACTTAAAAAGCCCAAAAACAAAAAGGATAATCGTCATTGGAAACCTCACTCTCTGATTTTCATCTGTATTTATTTAGCTTTTGCTTTTTTCTTGTTTGATCTTTTCGTTGAACTACGTTGTCAGTAGTGTCGTGTATAAATCCCAATGTTCTGTTTTTATCTAGAATGTATGGAGAGGCGGTGAGGAGGGCAAAGCAAAAAGAGAATTTCTAGTATTTGTCATACTGTCTAATGAGAAAAGAGAATAGAATCTCAATTATCAGCTTTCCACGAGTATAAGATTCTTCCATTTGAAAAGTCCTTACAAGGTTCTTGGTTTGGTGAAACGTTTGACAAGTGTTGGGAGAGTGGCGACCCTTTCAAAGGCGCATAGGCATATGCACAAACTCGCACTCACGAAAAGCCTTACTACACGCAACAAGATACAAAATGGCACCGACGTCACCGACAACCACATTAATATCGAAAAATGAAAGAAAACAAGAAGCCGGATGATAAGATAACAGAGGAGGTGTAGTGCACGGGGAAACAATGGGGTTTTTCAGTGTTACAACATCAAGATGTGCATTAAGCTTTCAGGTTCTGGTTTTGATTGGACTTCAGAGATACTTTGTTTCCCTTCCTAAGATTGCAGAAAAGGGAAAAGAAAAGAAACTCATTGTTGGAAGAAAATTCTCAAAATCTTCAGCCTGATAGCTTCTTAAGCAGAAGAGAGCTTCCTAGAGTAAACAATGTACATAGGATCTGAGCGTCCGGGATTAGGAGATATATCAACAGCCTGCAAACACAAGTGTAGGTTTTTTTTAAAGAAAGGCTCAGATTAGTGTCTACCATTAGCTTGGATATGCTCATATGAATGCACATGGATTTACATCGATGGCGGACGTGCATGTCGGATAACATCTAATTCAATTTGGAAACTTTGGGGATTGTTGACGATATATGCAGCAGCATATTCCAGCCAACATCAGCTGACTTTTCATACAAACCAAACAAGCATGTCATAGGCACTTGGACATCTCTCTCTCTCTCTCTCTCTCTCTCATGCACACGCATAGGGGGCGAAGAGATTGCCGGGAAACTGTTGTCGAAGAAAATATTAGCTCATAAAACAGATAGAGAATATGATTCTATCGTGCAAAATGAAAAACTTCATGGGTGAAGAACATATTATAATTAAGATTATTTACCTGAGGAGGTTCAAATCCACCAGCATAATGGAAGTATGACCCAACAATTACAGCATGATCAGAATCACCAGTGGATGTCCATACAGAAATTGCTTTTGTCCAGAAGCAACGATTTGAAAAGCTGTTTGGAAAAGCATTCCATCAAGTTGAAAAAAGTTTAAATTTTTGGGATAAATATAAATGGTTGAACAAAGAAGTGGAACAAGGAGAAACATTGACGGTATCTCGTAGACCGTAGTTCTACTGCAATATTAAATCATAAAAACATGTGTTGCAATTATGGCCAAGGCAATGAATCACACAGGTCGTAGAATCAACAATAAGTACTGCCAGAAAACCCACATTACATGAGCCTACTGAAGCTGGAAAATCTTCACACTTTCGGCATAAGACTTCTAAAAACTAGCAGAGGAAACTTTCTTACCTCAAGTACTTGTTAAGTTGAAATTTATTAAATCCTTTCATTAGGTGTAGAGAATCACATCATGGAAACAACTTAATCTTACACTAAGAGATCATCAAAAAGAAATGAACAGAATAAAATTGATCTTAAGCTTGAATGCAACCATTAATTAGAAGTAGATTAATATTTCACCTCATTATAGCCAATCCACCAGGCTTAAGAATCCGGCGCATCTCTTTGAAAACATCAAGAGGCTTTGTTAGATAATCAACACTGACCTGCAAGATTTTAAAGAACATACATCTGAACATCCTTAAAATGTCATTTTTGCAAGCATACTTGTTAAGGAGCTCGTTTTAAGCATCCAAAAATTGGAAAACATGATACTGCCGGAAGATAAGCATAGAAACCCTAGCTTTAAGAGAAGCAGTGCAAAAAATCCAAAAGCATCTTTCACGTAGTGCATCCAAAATAGAAAAAGAATTAGAAAGAAAGGAATAACTAATGTCCAAGAAGCAATTTTGAAAGTGAAACGGCAAAAGACAAGGAGAAATTAAAGAGATGGGAAACAGGACATACCACATTAGTAATGACATCAAAGGAGTTATCTTCAAAAGGAAGCTTAGGGTTCAAATTTAAATCTTGCACAACATACTCGGTTAGAACCTACAAAGACAATAATTTTAAGAAATATGAATCTCTTCATCCCATCAATATAGAGATTATTAACCAAAAGGAAGGCAAGGCTATTACTATCTTGCCCAGAAACAAAACAATGTCATGAACAAGGCATGTTTCAAAGAGATTCCATTTGTTGCAGTATCACATTTCAGTTGTACCCATGAACTCACGCAGATGACAATTATCTATAAAGAATATCAAAGCAAAAGTAGCCCGAGTGTGGAGATCAATGTAGGGAGTAACTTAATACTACTATTTGAAGAGAACTCATAATCTATTACAATTTTGCTGTAGGATCTTTATTTAAGTAACTAAATCATTAGAGTTGTAGTTGCTCAAATAGCAGCAGTTTGACCAGCTTCGAGACATTTTTGAACATGCACTTATAAGCCAATAAAAAAGTGAGAAGAAAAATTAATCTCACAGGATTTCGCTTGAGCTCTTCTTCATTCATGCCCATTCCAACTACTCGTTCTTGCTTGTATCCTTTTGGAAAATGACTGACCTAAACATAAAGCCAAGAACTGGATCCTGATAATGCAATAGAGAAATAGGCTGATCAGCTGATCTCAACATTAAGAATGTCTCACCCAACTGCTGCACATATCCAAGATGCTCACTCCTGGAGTATTGCTGGGAGGGAAAACTTCTGAATAGTACTTAGTAAGTGCCGCAATGGCTGGATCATCAATATGTGTAACAAAGCGCGGAGCTTCATAAAACAATGAATCCGGTGATCTGAAACATATCAAAAGGTGTAAAACAGATATGAAAATCTTAAAACCTTGTCAATATGTTTAACGTGAGGATGAAACTTTGAAATGATTGAAGAAAAGCATAAACTTTCAGCTAAACAATATGAGCTTGACTGAACCACATGCTGAAGCATTAGATCCTGTAATCAGTATACCGTAGGATGATTTATGCAAGGATGAGCTGTGGAGTGCTGTGAGATTTCCTGTTTGTTTAATAGTACTAATCAACTTCTTTTTCTATTTTATTCTAGCAAAGTGTAGAGGAAATGACTTGAGATACAGGCAGCAAGTATAGACTGCTTGATTGAAACTTAAAGCCCTTAAGTCTAAGAGAAATAACAAATTCAACAGATTCATGTTTTGACCATGTAACTTTCTTTGACATTTGAATAAAAGGGCTTTGCCAGACATGTATCACATTTACAAACCTCATTCATCTAGAATTGGTAAAAGATGCTTCAAAAGTTACTTCTCCAATCTCCAATCAACAATTTCAAATGCGTAGTTTCATCATGAATATAGTCAGTACTCAGTAAGTAACAGCAGCAACCAAAGCAATAACAAAATTTGATGAATAACTTCAAGGAAAGCAGTAAGTTGAACATAGATTTCAATCTAAACAGCAAAACTCAGTTTGGATTATTTACTCATCAAAGCGTTGGAAATCCTCATCCTTGAAGGGGAACTGTTCCGGCCATTCCACATTCTGCAACACCTGTGTGAAGTAAAGCAAGGGGATTTGGCTCTTCAATCAGACAGAATAACAATTTCCAATTTCCATCTAAACTTTAGCGATGAAAATAACATTAGGAAAATGGTTGACTTATGGGTTCAGTAATGACCTTGAAAACTCTAGAAAGCAACTTAAAGCATACATGAATAAATTGTAATAAACATAGTAGAGGCTGTTAATACTAAACTCAACCAAGCACATTGATTCTGGTTTAAGAAGTTGTATGCACCGTTACTTTCTCTGCACATTCAAATCCCCAGAGTAAAAGATACAAGCGTGTAGGATATAACAGTATTTACCTTTCCCCCCCCCCCTCCCCTTTCTGTTTTGGTGCAGACCAATACCGAGAACTAAAGGATGTAAGACTTCTGCCCTTTTTGCCTATCCCCCTTAATCGCATTTGTCAGAAAAAAAAAAAGTGCTAAATTTTGTTTTTATTATTTGGTCAAGAACAACAGAGCAATTAGTCAACTTTATACCCCCAATCAACTTAATCTTTATGATGATTATCCATCAAGAACTGAGTTGAGTTTTCTTTCTTCTATTTTGATACGTCCCCATTTTCAAATGCTTAGAAATTGCGTTCCAAAATTGAACTAACCCAGAAGCTATTAAAAGACTTAACTTGTCGAATTCCTTCAGCCCAAATCAATGAAAACTTGATTACGTTTCAAATTCGACTCCATAAACCACCCACATAATTCAAAGTGCAAGTAAAGAAAAACCCAGAGACTAATCAACAAAAGAAGAATTAGTAAACATTGAAAATGCACCTGTTCAACAGCACCCTTTTGCCTTGCAGAAGCAATGAATGATTTGCAGTTGCCAGCCATGTTCATATGCTGAGCCCAAAATGAAGCCCCTAAGCCTAGCACCAGCCTTCGTGGCAGTCTACCACCATTGTTCCATTTTTTAAGACTAGAAATAGAATTAACGGCCGTAGCAGAAGTCAAACCAGAATGACTAACACCAGCCAAGACAGGTAACCTTTGTTGCAGTTGAAGTCCGATGATTGCCATTTTTGACGTCATGTCATCATGTATATATAGGTTTGCACTTTTATATGCTGCTGCTTGGGTTACGGTAGCATGCACGTGGGGCATTAGAAACCGTACGATTAATGGCGATGGTTGGATTTATGTTGACGAAATGATAATCAAGGTTGTCATGTGAGAAAATGCCCCCAAACTAATATGTGGTTGATATGATTTGGTGTCTGATCTTATATTAGTGATTCACGTTCGGTTAACGTGGAACCATTGCACAACATTCAAATCCATACACGAAATTTCTCAAGAAAACTAAACATGAGTTTCATCTAACACAGAAAATGTCATCTCTATGTTGTTCCTGTGCCGACCAGACATCTCAATGACTCAGCCCGAACTACCTAGTGGATGTCTCACTGGGAATCCACATTGGCAAAGTGGACATCAGGGAGGATCAAACCTCCAAGTGCAGAAGGCCTTAACGTACGAGAAAAGAGAGAGAATCCAAAATCATTTCATGAATCGACAATTAATGGACCCATAATTAGAAATTTGTGAGAGCCTACCAGGCTACCACCAAGCTTAACGGGCCCAAGTCAGTAAATGGATCAAAATGATGGTTACTTCTCTTTCAAAAGGAAAAAATTAGAAATAGGAAACAGACGGAACTGCTATGCAACGTTGCTGTTTCTTCTTTTCGTCCTTCTCTCTGTTGGGTCAATTCAATTGTCTCAAATAAACAGAACTTAAAATAAACTTTTAAAAAAATAACAAGTGATCAGTACTTAAATCTACCAACACATGCAACCAAACCAGGGCAATGTCATCATCTAGATTGGTAGGTAAAGATTGGGGGCCACCAGGAAACAGTAGGGTAACCATGCCAGGGGATACAGAGGCTGAGAGAAGCCTACCATCTTTTAATCTAATAGCCATTCAGTATTAGAATAAAGAAATGCTTGCAAGCTTGCAGCAACTAAGGTAAAGAATTCCAAAGGTAAGCGTGAATCCAATGTCAGCATCAATTGGCAATAAGCATGTGGTTCTTTAGGTATAGTTGCATTGCATGTGGCGAAGGTCTCATTTCCATCACGACTCATGCAAATTAAGTGGCAAACATGCCCCAGGAAAAAGACCCACTAGCTCATTGGAAAAAGACCAGTCTGTAGGCTTAATTCCTCAGTAAAGTTCAAAAAAAAAAAACAAGACTAAGGAGGAAGGACGCACACTTAATCTAGCTGGACGACAATTGATTTGAAATATCCAATTTGAATTTTATTAGTAGTTACCCCTAATAAATTAATCACCATGAAATCACACGAAATGAGATGATTGTCAAGGTGGTAGATGCCTAGCCGGAACGAGCCTGTGCACTGAAAACTATTACAAATACACACAAAAAAGAGAACAAAACTCATGGCTGTACAAGCTGCTCCCATGAACAGGGCAAGGAAAACCATGCAATTGTACAATCGTGTCTTTTATCCTGATGAATTATTAAACTTGCTCAGCTCAAAGACAGAACCGATAACAGATTAGATAAATTATTAGTAGGGCTAATGATTCCTTTGGTTGGTTGCATCTAACATGTTGGAAGTTGACTTGACCATTGGATCTTATCAATAATTTAGATGTAAATTAAAAAAAAAATAGAAAGGGCAAAAAGCCATGGATCCTTTTCCCAGTGTTAAATTCATATTTATTTCCATTTCCAGTGCTAATGCTCAATCAATAGCCCATAGAATTCATTTCATTGACTGAGTTTCTTGCTTTCACTCAACTAATCCCTTTGTGTCTCTATCTGACCAAAATATCAAGCACCTTTAAAATGACATTTCCCCCTCTAATTCTTTAGTAATAATATGGCAAAAAACTGACCTAATGGTTGATGGAATCAATCAATCTTTTTGGACAAATCTCTATATGTACGGCATGTTTTACTTTAACAACCTATTGGGATTTGTTCCTTTTCTTAACTTTTTCTTCGCTGCCAATAAACATGGCACATGTACAATAGGTTAAACAACTTAAATCAATCATCATCTCTCTATACATAAGTAGATATTTGCTATCAAAGTATATACGAAACTTCTTAGTAATGTACACTTTTTCCCTCCAATTTTATTAATTCATTAATTTTTTTAGTAAGATTTATTTTCTTTTTAAATCATCCTGACATACTCAATTAGGTTAATAATTAGTAGTGTTGCATCATCAGACTCTTTAAAATTACGTAGAAATTATCAAACTTTGAACTTGAACCAAATTGCTTGTGTTGGATGGTTTGAGGTCAGTTTCCTTGTTAATGGTTTTGGTGGCGAGCTGTCAATATGAGAATTTTCCAAGTCAAAAATGTCTGTTGTTTTTTTGGTTGGGTTAGTAAGTATAATTTAATTAAGCATGTCATATTATATAGATAACTATGAATGTTCATATAACATGCATGCATAATTGAAATTAATATAACAACCCTTCACCACATGCATGAAACTAAAAGTTGGATGAGAATATACAAGAAGTCGTCAATTTGAATTCTTTTTACCCGCCTAATCCCATGGATCTCTCTAGACCTAGCAAAATTTACCAGCCTTAAACAGTTAAAAAAAATACACTACTACTGGTATAAAACTAATAGTAATTATTTACTGTTCATGACAGCCGTAACCGATTCCCATTATAAATAATCCCCATTCACTCTCCTGCTTCCCTCCCCTCCCCTCATCTCCCTTCCGTCCTCCTCATTCTCAGGAAGTCTCCTACTCCTCATCCAACATCATCCAACTCCGGTCCTCCGTCTCCAGCCAGGTCAACCCATCAGCCCATCTCCCAAAATGGACCGACCCAGATTCGTAATCGACTCCGACGAAGCCGAACAAATGGCTAAACAATCAGGCCAAACGGTGCTCCAACTCCTCCCGTCCTTTGTCAAATCCGCTCAATCCTTAGCCCGCCCGCCAATCTCGAACTTCCACGTGGGAGCAGTCGGACTCGGGTCATGTGGTCAGATCTTCTTCGGAGTCAATCTGGAATTCCCGGGTCTACCCCTCAACCATTCCGTCCACGCCGAGCAATTCCTTATCACCAACCTCTCCCTCAATGCGGAGCCGCGTCTTAAATACCTCGCCGTCTCTGCCGCCCCTTGCGGCCATTGCCGCCAATTCCTCCAAGAGCTCCGTGGCGCCCCCGATGTCAAGCTCCACATAACCTCCTCTGACGACGAAAAAGAAAACAAAACAAACAATAATTATAATGATAAAGACCAAGAATTTACTCCTTTATCTCACTTTTTACCTCACAGGTTCGGCCCTGATGATTTGCTAGAAAAAGACGTCCCTCTTCTCCTCGAGCCTCACCGAAACGGGTTGTCCTTTTGCTCCGATTTATGCAACGGCAAAATCAACGGTGAGGATGATTTAAAATACGCGGCTCTCGATGCGGCGAATGCGTCACACGCGCCTTACAGCAGATGTCCATCTGGGGTGGCGTTGGTGGATGTTGAAGGGAAGATATATAAAGGGTCTTACATGGAATCGGCGGCTTATAATCCGAGCTTGCCGCCGGCTCAGGCGGCGATCGTGGCTTACGTGGCTAGCGGTGGCGGTGGAGGGTATGAGAGGATCGTTGGGGCGGTTTTGGTGGAAAAAGCGGATGCTGTTATTAAACAAGAACACACGGCGAGGTTGCTCTTGCAGTGTATTTCGCCAAAGTGTGAGTTCAAGGTGTTCCATTGTAAAAAGACTTGTTAAAAAAATTTGAGTACTAGGTACAATTTATGTCTATATAAAAATTTGTAATGGTTGAAGCGTAGCCAAAAGAAAGAAGAAAGAAAACTGGGAAGTTCATGGATCCATTGATGAAAAGCAAAAAGATAATGCCTGTTTGATCTTTAGTGCAAGAAAAAGGGAACATGCTTGGTTTAAGAAACCAAGCATGAAATGTAAATCAGCAAGTTAATAAAAGTTTCGCTATTTTCTAATGCTTTCTGATATAAGTCAGCAACTGGGTATGTTTGAATATGCTTTGATTGAATTATTCTCTCCTGCTTTACTTAATTTTTGTCTGAGCTGTTCAATGGACTTAGTTAGGGTGGCTGGAACTGTTTGACAAATGAAAGATGAAAAGCAGGTGGTGCGGCGGCTGTTGCTCAGCTGATGATTTCTTTTAAAAGTTTTGGTTGGTAAAAGGGCATCCAAAAATGAGGCGAACATGAGGTTCCCTTTTCACTTTCTGACCGGATCGATATCACTGTATGGAAATTGGTCCATTTGCAGCTGTAGTTTTTGATTGGTGGGTGGTGGATCCTGCTGCCGTGGAGTCCCAACATTGCTACTTCTTTTGCAACGCATTTACCCATCTCTATATATTTACTGTCAAGGTCTATCCTCATGATCTAAATGTGTTGTCAAAAGGCTTCTTTAATTGTTAAGTCAAACACTTGAACCTTTCTTAATGGCCTCTCAAAGGGCCAGGCTCTGTTCTGGTGCTGCAATTTTTTTCTCACTTTTCCAGCTTGGTAGGATCATGACCGTTTAACTTGCGGATCTGGTTATAAGCTTTTATCATCGGAAAGTGGGATTATAATCTAGGATAGTTTCACTTTCATACAGGCTAATGCCGAGCAGTGACTTGGAGTTGCAGGCAACTTGATATTAGCAATGGTGAAATTGGTGTGATAATGGATCAAATGTAGGCTAAAACAAGGGGAAATTGATAGTTCTTAACCACCTAAAGGTGTCGATTCGCCTGTTTGGCTTTGTCCAATTCTGTGGCTTTTAATGAAGGGAAAAAAAAGTAGAGAAAGTACAAAATGGAGAACAATAGATTGAGGATCCACAAAAGAAAGGCAGAGCCAACAAGAAGGAAACAAAAAGAGCATTAAAGTTTGCCTTCGAAGTTCTCTGCACAGCTTTTCTCCTTTATTATCTCCTTGCTAGATTTCATATTGCTGCCAGGCAAGTGCCAGCCAGCCTACAGTGAATTTGATATGCCTTTTGCAGGGAAATTAATAGATATTCATCATGTTAGATGCCCAAACTAAACTGGTAAACTTTTTGTCATTTGGAGCTGATTCTGGGAATTAAAACTTGTCATAATCTCCAAATTTGTAAAAGATCAGATCGATGTATTTCTTTTTAGTAACCAAATTTACTGTTAACATACAATAGTACAATCGAAACAAACTATGCTAGAAGGCCAGAGTCTCCTACATACGGCCCTGTACCAGATGAAGAACTGATCCCAACCTGGTTCAAGTGTTAAAGATCCCATATGCCAATTATTTTGCTCCAGCCGATTATGGCACAAGGTTGCAACTTGCAATTTCCTTCTGAATTTAGGTATCAAAGACTTCATCTAAGTGCAGTGGATGTCGAAAGATGGTCAAAATGGTAGTCTAAAGCAGCTCCTATTTCGACAGCAACTCAATTTCTGTTTAACCAGTGCCATTCCTCCCATTAACAATCTGTATCCTAAAAAAATTTTAAACTGTTGGTCATTGTCAACATCAATCTAAAACATATGAAGCTATAAATGACTGTAACCTTGTCCAAGTTTATCTTTAATCCTGACGTAGTTTGTGATGGCTGCATTGGGATAGGAAGGCTGATCAATCGAGTGACAGTAGATGAAAGAGAGATTATCTTTTTATGAATCTCACTCTTGGCACCCTTAATGAAAGAGCAATCACTTTTTTGGCTGAATATAAACTTGAATAGTTACTTTATTAAGGACTTATCCGACATGAAAGTGATTGATTTTGATAATCAACCCAACTTGGTTAATCGGTTTCCCTTCAGCCCTTCAAAGCTTCGAATGTTAAATGAAAATCACTGAATTGCATGCAACAGACTTTCTCTTAGAGAAGAACACATTATATGTAGTATAGTCTATACACACAAAACTTAAAACAGCAAAGAATCTCTTACTTCCCTAATTCATATATTCTAAATTGAACAACATCATCCCAAGCATTCAAGAGAACACTAAGAAACAGAATAAGAAGAGGAGGCTGCATTCTTTAATGGCAGAGGCACCGCTTCTTCTGCACGGCGCATCAAAACTGGCGATCTATTCACTTCTTCGTCATCCACAAAGAACAAATCAACAGTACTTCTGAATACTCCATGGACCAAAACAACGGCTAATCCAACAGAAAGGCCAATTATGATATTGTCTGTCACATCTGTTAGGAAAAGCATGGCAATCGTAACCAACAACAGACCAGTCATCACTATGCGATCATCAATCACAAAGCCCTTTATTGATACGGGGTCGTCTCGTAAAAAATAAAGGAACAACCATGCGACCATCATGATAATGAGGACAATTAGTGAGATAGGGTGCCAGAGCAAGGTGAGGAAGAGAAGAAACAATATGATGATGGCATAGTTCATCCTAAAAAATGCCGCATTGGTTTGGATTCTTTGTATGGAGTCGTTAAAATTGGAGGGGAGGTTTATAGCTTGGATCTTGACCATCTCTTTCCATTGCCGTCGCCTGCCAAGGCCTGATCGGATCTGTTCTCTTGCACGGGAAATGAAGTTTGATGATGGTGGTGACTCTGCTGGAATAGTTCCATATGTTGTCATTTTCTAATTTGATCTGCACAGAGCTAGTGGCTAATGCCAAGGGGGAGAGAGAGAGAAAGCCAATCCCTACAGAGGAGGAGAAGAACCTGCACTACATAATTTGCTAAACTTGAGGTGAGCTAAACATAACATCTAGGCGGGTTTCATTCTTCATTTTGTGGCTCAAGTTAACACGTATCAGCTAAGCGTTTAGAAAGAGGATAGATCAAGTTGTCTGTAATAAGTTTGAAATCTTGTTTTTTTTTCTTGAAGAGCTGAACAGTATACACAATTGTAAAAGAACCAAAGGAGCAGTTCCACCATCTGATCAGTCTTACAAAAACTGCAGAACATCAAACACCTCTGCAGTGCTTAACTCAATCTTTAGATCCCCAACCAATTCTATACATCCCCCACAAACAGGAGGTTAGCATGACCTTCGTACGTTCATATCCAAAGATTAAGTACATCATGACAATATAAAAGCCTCGTATCCATTGTACACAAAAGTTACCTGCAGCAGCAAGATAAACAAAAAGAACCAGCAAATATATACCCCAGGGCACAACACATATCAACAACCCCAAAAAGGAAGTCAGGACCATTAGCATGGTCCATCCGCAAAATCAAGAAGCATGATAATTGGGCTACCAGAATGCAATCATCTACATAATCAACAAACAAAATAAAAGACGCCATCAGCATGCAACAATTAAATATCATCCACAGCATCATTAAGTGCCCACAAGAAATCTTCCAATCTCAGCACCCCAGCTTTAGCCGGGGAGTCTGCAACACCATTTGCAGACCTAGGAATTTACCTGAATTGCAGGCTTTGAGTTTAGTTTTATAGAGCTCCATCTACCTTAAAATGCCTCTAATTCTCCAAGCTTCAGCGGGCAGATCCTTTGCCCACTTCACTGCATTTTCCAAGTCACTTTCTATAATAACTTCATCGGTACTACACCATCTACAGGCTGCCACCATTTGGAGTGCCTTCCTAATCGCCATAATTTCAGCTGTGTTGGCATCTAGTTTGGATCTTGTTAATTGCCTTTAGGTGGATTGGTGCTGCACAGAAGCAGTGGGTTCCATTCCTAGCCAAAACAAAATATTAAAGGGAACAACCACTTTGCATACCTTGTTCCATGCCAATGAAGAACATCTTAAAGAGCAAGTTCAAGTGACAACATATTACTTTCTTCCAATTACAAATTTGTGAGGAAGCATGCACCATGATGGATAGCGCGCCCCTTTAACCAGAGGCATAAAACATGAATAACAAACACAAGGAAAAGAAAGCCTGAATATCATTTCAAGAATAAGGATATTAGTTAGATGAAAAACAGATAATATATGATTTATGATTTTAAGAAGTGGTCTCTCATCTCACATGGAGATCTGATACTAGAAATAATTAAGAACTAAACAATCTTCTATCTCAACTGGTCATTGACAAACATCATCACCACAGCTTAAAGCTAAACACTACAAAATCTGTAACCTTTATACAGGAACAGAGTAAAATAGAAGGAATGACACAATAGCTCTTAGACCGGATCTTCTGGCTTTCACTGATTAGGTGGCAGGACATCACCTTTGAGCACCTTCCAGGGCCCGCCATAAAATTTTGGCTTCATGAGTGGCACTGCTTCCCCAGGGTGATCTTCCCAGTACTTTTCCTGATCAATAACAAAGATTGCAATTCTTAATAGATCTTTGAAGATTGCAATTCCTAAATGACCATTGATTACAACATGGGTTTCCAAGAGCATTTCCAATATGCTTGGCGACTTAAGTCAGATAATAAATGAAAAGAAAGAAAATATAGAAAACAAGGTGATACAAAAAACAGATTTATTCCTTTTAGTTGTTTGGACTTGAGATAACTGATAACAAGAAAAATGAGATGAAATACAATTATGAAACATTTGCTGCACTCCTCAATCATAAATTTGATGAATATGTTGACTATGTTCAGAGAGTTGAAAACAAAACATAAACGTTTATATGCACTTGATTTGTCTTAAAGGAAAATTCATGACTCTCTTCAATCATCTGTATGAGCCCACTTAAAACTCGAACATAAAAAAAAGGGAGCGTGATTAGATATAAAAGGTTATAGGGATTAGGGAAGTATGAAGAAGATAATTATAAATTTCAAGAAAACAACATATGCAAACTCCTAACAGATTAAGATAGAATGTTATGGCAAAGCTTTATATAGACCAGGATTGATCATTGATTGAGAGCATTTCCATGTAATTCGCTATGGATTTTGAATCACTGAGCTATTAGTAACTTGCTGAAACAATTGCCAAATATCCAAAAGAGGCCTAAACCTAACAATTGAGCCACAGATACTTTAGGAAGAACTTCAAGCCATATCCTATAAGTTTTAACATTTATTTTACAATTTCCTATTGTATTTTCCCGTTTACATATATGAACTCCAAATCCAAGTAAAGAAGGCACTCATTTTTGTGCTTTTCTGCTATCGTTATAAACTCATCCAATCCTTTCAAGTTTTCATCCAAAAAGAAGTAAACTCTTTGGTTTGACTAAAGAGATAGCTACCATAACTATTGGAAAAAAAAAACCCAGGAAAATGGTAGAAAGGAAATACCTTGTAGAGTTGCTCAGTAATGGCGGAGCCAATGACGCCAGTGTAGAAAGCTGCAATATAAATAGTAACGAGAGGCGTAAAAGATTTGGGTCTTCTGTAGGGCTCTAACATGTCCCAAAGAAGCGTTCTTTCCCATTTGGTGTAAACATAGTCTGCATACTTTCTCCAGAGATAGCTCGCCATTTTTTTTTCCCACCTCCACTTTACTTTTCCTCACAGTTCATCTTCATCAGACGTCTGAATCCAGTTGAAGATCGTGTCGAAACCCACTTGCTTCCGGCGGCGCGTGAGCTATAGTGGGTTCTTGTGATAGGGAATTGAGTGCTGAAATACCCAAAATCTCCCCGAAAGTGGAAACTAGCTTCCAAGCCGGTCTATGACTTTCCATTGATACGCTTTTAACAGCATTAAAATTTATAATAGTTTTAGTGTCGTGCTGGAACTTTCTTTTCAGACCGAGTGATAAAATTTAAGATAAAATCACAATTTCTATCTACCTCGAGATCAATCTTACCATCTACCTTGACATGTTTATATCTTCTTTTGTTTGTAATATTAATAAATGCTTAAACATTACACTTAGATCTTATCAAATATTATATCAAAAACTGTAATATCCCCTCATTTATTAATATGAACGTAATTGTTAAGATTTATATAAATTTTAAATCAATCATTGCTAACAACTTAGACCACGTGATTTAAATCTAAAAAATTATTACTTCAATGGAGCTTGAACCTGAATCATTGCAGAAATATTATTAGCAATCAAGGTGCAACAAAATCAATTTGATTTCTAATTGAGTTTCGAGGTTACAAATATCACGGGCAGAATAAGAATGAAAAAAATGCAGCAAGCTAAGAATTTCTATTTAGTATTCTTCTACAGAGAAAAATGACAATATACAGTAATCTTAGATAAGCTCAAGATGGGAGTCCACTTTGGTGTGCAATATACATGGCAATGCACAGGTGTTCACAAGCTTTATAATGAATCCTGTGTTTAAGTTGGCACAGCCGGCTTTTCAATCGGAGCAGATACAGATTCAAGATTCAGGTCTCCAAGTCCCTTAGGTGGACCAACGTTGAAATGCGATTGGCTGTGCATTTGGATAGCATCCTTTATCTTTTGAAACTGCAGATGATATTGGAAAAGCATCAGATGTAGTTAAGGCAGTGAGGTTTAAGCTACTAACAATTTTATATTGAACCTTCTCTGTAAGTGATATAGTTGCATAAGAAAATTGATCACCTATACATGCAAGTTGCAAAGACTAAATATGCACCTAAGAGTCTTTTGATAATGAATCTTCTCGATGTCATGCATCCACTTCATACATTTCTCTTATCAATTTCTCAACAAAAACCACCACCAAAATGGAAAGTGAAAAAACCATTGAACCTCCAACGAGTGTTCCAATCCAGTTATGAAGTGCTGAAAGACATGATTTCTAATGTCAAACTATAGTTGAGCAAGCAAGGTATTCTAGAACCAGAATTTGATGCCTCAACCTTTCCTTCAAGGGGAGTGCATGTTCATACGGTTCTTTTACGACTGAAGTTTTTACTTTATCCATTTCCCAGCAGCCAGATGGAGAACAATTAACTAATCGGATCAACTTATGTCTTAACAAGTGCAAATATATCCAAGGGCTCATAGAGGATAAAAATGCTCACCTTGGCAAGCGAACATGAAAATGATTCCAGTTGTCCATGGGCTCCACGGTAAAAGTGGAAATAAGGAAGCACCTTAACATTCAATCTTTTACACATAGGCTTGTTCTCGTCAAAATTGACTTTTAAGAATAAAATTTCAGGATGTTCTTGCGCTGTCCTGCAGAGCTGCCAGAATCATTTCAAAGCAACATCAGAAAAAATCAACACAGTTCAGAAACAATATCAGCTACTTTACAAAAGATGAAAAAGGTAAAAAGCCTCAGGTACTAAATATTTAAAGAGCACATCTAGCCTGATTTGAGAAATTGCTAGTGGATGACTTCTTGACTGGGTGTAAGCAATGGACTCGATAAAATTTTGCTCTGTCAAGCAAGATGAGTAGGTGGTGCAAGCATCACTTTGATGATTTACATGGAAATGAATTAATATATTTGTCCTAACAAGCAGTAGTTGCTGGAAAAACCATTTGGAAAGCACCCCTCCCCCCACCACACATACACACACTATTCCAGTTATTTAATTTGAAGATCTGTCATTTTTGGCGGATCTCTTACAGTAAAACACTATGAGTTCATCGAAGGCTTTATGCTGCTTAAGGTAACCTTTCCAAATGTATATTTCGTTTTTCAAAGAAAGATTTTCAGTGCCAATATTTCCTGACAAAGGAGGGCCCTTGCTATCCCAGGAGAACAAGGAGAACAAGCATCCACAATATCATGTAGAGCACTTTAACAAATGTCAAAATTTATATAAATAGCCAAGACTAAGTGAAACTCAGCATAAATAAGATCTACTTAGTCGTCCTTGGATTATATAATGTAGTCATTGTTTATCTTTACGATGTATTGACTAACAATAATGTTGTATTCAATTGAGAAATACTTAAAGGTTCTCCAATGCAGAAATCATACATAACTAAACAAGGGCATAATTTTGCCAACACAAAAAGTTGATTTTGAGCTTGGAAATATCATGGAAACATGAAATACTGGTCAAGAAACACACGAGTTACCTTGGGAAATAAAGCTCTGCAAGAAGCACACCAAGTTCCATAAAATTCAACAATAACTAATCGATCTCCAGCTTCACTTAAGGCACTCAAAAATTCTTCAGTAGAATGAATGTCAAGCATATTTGGTCCGGCATTCTTTTCCCACCATTTTGGCTGGTTCGTTTTGGTGATAGTTGCATGCACCTGCAACAAAAGAACTTGGTTAATGGATCTCAATCTCATATATAAGACCTAATCAATAGTTTCTGCTAATAGTATTGGGAAATTGAGGTAAAGTGCATTGCAGGAAAACATTTCATACTCAATTAACAATAAGGCTGACACAAATGGCCCAAGTAACATGATTCAATTTCATGCAATTTATAATAACAATTAATAAGTGAGAATGCTGTCAACCGTAAGTGATGATAAGAAGTCCAAATCAAGTGTAGCTGTCTAGCAATATTGCAAGCTCTGAGACACAAGATTTCAGCATGTAATTTTGGAATAAGTGGGGCAATATACTATCAAGAATTCAACATGCTTAACCCCAATAAAGGTAGCTATTGATTCTTGCTACCCAGTTAATCCAGCAGAAAATATCATCATCCCAAAACTTATATTCTTGTAAAGGAAGAACTGTCAAATAGTAATAAAATTACACAGGAATGATGAAAAGAATTTAGAAAATTCCCAACTAAGTTACCCACAAAAACCTGGTGTACGAGCAACAAGTGGATGATAAATCCTTAAGTAAATCTTAAGCACGCCTATAAGAAACCTGGTAAGCTAAAGGAGGGAGTTTAAAATTTTGTCAGAAACTGTGCTCGCAATATTTCTCTGCGGTTTCATGGCTTTATAAGAATGAAAAGGCAATATGCAAACCATGTAGATAGACAAAACTCAACTTCTTGACCCAGTCGAGACTAGATTCAAACAAATCATGTAAGAAAGTGAAGGAACTCCTGACACAAGCCCTAAGATGAAAATTGTAGTCAGAGGGCTAGAGAGTTTGTAAATCTATTGCTATAATAGGCAATGAAAGTCATTAAACTAGCAAAAAGTCATTAAACTGAAAAGAGCAGGGTATTCTCAAGCAAGAAAATGTAAATAAAATAAGCTCCTACCCCAAATTAAAATTCTATGGCCAATAATAGATTTAAAACAAACAGGTTCTCATAGTAAAAATGCAAAATTCAAATGAAACTGAGCATCATCCTCCTAATTTTCGCACTAAACTGCATAAACAAACAAATTAAACAAAAGGGTCCTCATAATTTGACTAATGAGTGGAAATAAAATTTAAAAAAAAAAAAAAGAACAAAAGGCACAGCTCCATTACCTTGAAAGACAGCAATTGCTTTCTCGAAGTCAAAGGAAGGCGAGAAAGGCCGGCAACGGAAGAAGAAGACAAAGGAAGAGAACAACTTTTCCTATCTAAATTAAAATTGGGTGGCAGACCCGGTTGTCGAGAGTTCAAGGTGGATGCAAAGGAGGTAAGCAACGAAGAAGAAGAAGAATGAAACGATGATGCTGATAATCTAACCACATCTGCCATCTAGCCTAGAGATTCTTACGATTGAAAGAAAGAAGAGAGAGACTGAGAAAGAAAGAAAGAAAGAACTGATATGTAAGTTATGTAAGTTATGCAAGCAGTTTTTATTTTTGGGGCCAAGAAGTTATGTAAGTAGTTAAATATGATACCTTGGCATATAATTATATAGGTGAAAAGGGCAAATAAGGGTTGGTGTACAGACAGAGAAGGTTAAACTGTCATACACGAAAAGGCAAAGAGAAAGACACCCTCTGTCTGTTGTTAGTTTCTGCTCTGTATGTTTAAGTTTATGGGAAAGAAATGTGAACTTTGAACAAACATCGTACGATGAAGATGCTTCCACATGTACTCTAGTTACAGTTACTTGGTAATTTCGTTGGTTTTGGCTTCCTTCAGAATCTTTGATCGGTCGGCCGGTTAACCCAACTCCCACTTGAGTTATTTTTAATTTAAAAAGAGAAATTAAGCTAAAGGTTCTCGACAATTGGTATTTCTCTTCATCCTAGTCCGACCAATATTTAGTTCAAAGTACTAACTGCAATTTGTGGAAGGAGAACAAGAACTTTCAAGGTTTTAAAGGGCAATGGTAGAATGGAATTTCAGACTGAACGAACAGAAACTGCCAAGGGATGCCCGTCCAACCTATCAAATTTGATGAGGTAAAGTTGTTTCTTTCTCCTTCAGAAACCTCCAAAGTTGCATTTGAGAAAAGAAGGAAAAGTAATAAACCAACAACGTTTCCAATTTTACTCTCTCTTAAACCTGAAATGGACATATCCAAAAATATCCAGGTCGCATCCTTCGACGAAATTAGTGTGTAACTTGCAAAAACGCGTGGAGCACTACTTTTCTAAGGAAGATTCCGGAAAGATTCACATTTTGTGAGGTTGGATTTCATTTCAGAATCTCAATAATTATTTTATTAAAAAAAACGTGACAAAATAAAATATATGGTCTGGGTTTTTACTCTCGTAGGTGCTGGTGGATGGCGGGACTCGGAAGTTTGTGTAAACCGGTCAACAACTTCAGCTTTGCTGGAAAGTAGGTATCTGTCGATTCGTGTCGAATTTTGCCTGTTTAGTGTAAAAAAGGTTTACATGGTAATGAAAAAACCAAGAAAACATCACACAACTAAGCAGCTATTTGTCTTCTTTGTTAAAAAATAGCATATTTTATAAAATTTAAATATTTTACATTATTAAGATATATGAAAAGTAAATATTTTATATTTAACAATACATTATGAGTTTATTGTAAGTAAAAAAAATAAAATGGGTTTGCGTGCACATAAGATTAAACATGATTTTAAGAAATTTTAGATTTTTCTTTGTGTATGACTGCACGTGAATATACACATGTATTGTACTCAAGTGAATTTTTATATCTTGGTATTACCTGACAAGTTGATCAGGTTTTTTTTCTAATTTCTTGAGTTTTATTCTCAACTTTTGGTTCCCTACGCGCGAATATACATGTGCGTTGTGTTTAAGTGAATTTTTATACCTTGACATTACCTGACAAGCTGATCAGGTTTTTCTCTAATTTCTTGAGTCTTTTTATCAACTCTTGGTTCAATGTTCACCTTATTTGGTACAACGCTCACCTCACTCTATGTCTATAAATACAACCTCACACTTTCACTCTCAACACACATCAAAGCTTTTCATCTTCTAAGTTTTCACCTGCGAATAAACACATGGGTTGTGCTCAAGTGAATTTTTGTACCTTGGTATTACCTAACAAGCTGATCAGGTTTTTCTCTAACTTCTTGAGTTTGTTTCTCAACTCTTGGTTCCCTGAGCATGACTATACACATCGACTGTGTTCAAGTGAATTTTTGTACTTTGGCATTACCTGATAAGCTAATTAAGTTTTTCTCTAACTTCTTGAGTCTTTTTCTCAACTCTTGGTTCAATGTTTACTTTATTTGATGTAGCGCTTACCTCAGTCCATATCTATAAATACAACCTCATACCTTCACTTTCAACACACACCAAAGCCTTTCATCTTCTAAACATTTTTTGCTATCAAACTTCCTGAATGTTTTTCTCAACTCTCTAATCTGGTTTAATGTTCACCTTATTTGGTGCAACATTCACCTCACTCGCCTACAAATGCAACCTCACACCTTCACTCTCAACACACACCAAAGCCTTTCATCGTCTAAGCTTTCTTTTTGGTACATTGGTATTACCTGACAAGCTGATCAGGTTTTTCTCTAACTTTGACAAACTGATTAGGTTTTTCTCAAACTTCTTGAGTTTTTTTGTAAACTCTTGGTTCAACGTTCACCTTATTTGGTGCAATATTCACTTCACTCTATATTTATAAATATAGCCTCACACCTTCATTTTTAACACACACCAAAACCTTTCATTTTCTAAGCTTTCTTTGCTCTTTAACTTTATGAGTCTTTTTTCTTAACTCCCTAATTTAATTCAACGTTCACCTCACTCCATACTTATAAATATAGCCTCACACCTTCATTCTCAACACACACAAAAGCCTTTCATCTTCTAAGCTTTCTTTGCTTATCTTTTTCGCCTCCTTTTTTTGATAGCTGGATTCTTTCTCTGTTTTTGCTGTTCTTCTCATCTCTTAATAATTTGTGCAAATTACTAAGTAAGGGTTTATTGAATCCTATAAGATAACTGCTATAGTCTTTTTACATCGAGTTTCATACTCTGAAGGAGCGAAAATTATCCTTAAGACAGTGATACCACGTCTTAGACTTCTTTTTACTGTTTTTACTTATTTTATTTTATATTCCTTATTTCTCGTAATCTTTTTTGACATTCTTCACCTGTGATTTTGGACCACCAGTACAGAGGCATAGGTGGCTTTCCAACGGTCTGCAACCTCATTTCATTCTTCATCCTCTGCTTGGCTTTCAGGGTGCTTTAAACATCCCAATATCTGTTTCAGAGATCCCAGTGTGGTTTTAAGCAATGCATTCTTTGATCTCAAATTCTATAGAACAGAAACTCATTTGATGTACTGCGTAGAAGAGAGTTTGGGAGAGAGAATTGGCATTCAAATGTAACCTTTTGTTTGTATAAGTACACATATATGAAATAGTTATCCTCAAATTGGTCTTATTATATATGTTAAGCATACACTCATTTTGATCAGATATTATTTTGTTCTTTTCTTATGTGTTTTGGTTATTTGCTTTTGTTTTATAGTAACTTCCAAGAAGACCCTACATAAATTTGACTTGAAGCAACCCTAAACTCTAAACCCTAAACCTACTCCTCATCATTGCTTTAAATCCAAGTGTTAATGTCTTCGTGACGTGGGAAACAAATATTGTTTTACGATGAAATTAGAGGAAAGTTGTGCACAGATCATAACTCTTCCTCCATGTTTACAATTATAATTGGTTTCCATATGAGCATAGATCATAACTCTCCAGAGTGTTTATAAGTAAACCATTCCACTTACGCATCCTGGATTCGTGGGTAAACAATGACCATGCAAAGAGAAACACTGATCAAAAACCATTATGCATAGCCCAAGTGCATTACAAACGAATCAATGATTCCAACCTTTGCCATTGAAAAATCCTAAGAATAGACCCAATGTGGACAACTTCCATGTCAGAATGTGTACTCCTAAATTGCAAAAATACCAAGTGGGTCAAGAAGCAAGTCATAAAAACATTTGGCCTTAACCTGAGAATAAACTGCGTAGGGTAACAGAGAAGAGATTATAATCTGTTTCGCTACAAGCATCTCATGATTCAATTTATATCAAAAACCAAACTGGTAGATGCAAGTAAGAATAATATCAAAAGTCAAGAAGCCTGACACTTTATATCCAGGCAAGAGAACAATTAACTAAGATGCAGCTAGCATGATACGATATTAACAAGCATTTCACCAGCAATACAGCACAGCTTTCTTCCACACAACTAAATTCATCGTCAAAGCAACATATGACATGCAGAGACAGAACAGAAATTGAACCCTTTCAACAAGTAGCTTAAAGATTGTTTGTTCTAAATTTAATTGTGTATTCCAAGATTCAAGGTAAGCGCTTTAAAAAGACAACTTAAGTGAGCAACTTAGGCTTTTGTCTAAGCAGGAAATAGAAGCAGAGAGGACAATCCTAGAACCTTGTACTTTTCCCCGATGTACTTTCACTCTGTCTTAAAAATATCATAAAAGCACTGCATAGGATTACGGATTGATTTTCAAATGATAAGGTGCAGCTCAGATACATGAAAAGTTGGAGCAATTGAGGAGAAGAGATACAACAATGCATTATCTCAACAATCTCAAGAGATCCCAAGTTTACTAATAGCCTTAACTTACTGCACAGTCTCACCGTTTTTGTACCCTCAAACATCTGCCTAGATGAACTGATGATCATGTGGCTTTGCAATAGTCATCCTGCCCACTTTTACCCCTTGCTTCAGCAGATAGATCCTTAACATGTTTAGGGAACAATTATTATTGGCTAGGCAAAAGCATAGACGCAGGAAATGATGATGACCCATTATTTGGAGCACCTGGTATATTGAGAATTGAAGTAACCAAGTTATATATCTGAACATTCTCAAAAGATGGCACCTTCTTCCCCCTCGCAAATTGAGGACCATGACCAATAAAAATGGTCCTCATGGAGAAAACTGCATTGTCATACCCATGTGATCCTCCACACTCTTTTCTCCCAGTTCTCTTCTGCTCTACCTTAAAACTCTCCTCAATCAGCCCTATTATTGGAGGAATTCGGTCACTTGCTGCATAATGTAGCCGACTAGGTAGCTCCTCCTTAAGATAAACCTTCAAAAATTTTCCATTCTCAACTTTCCCAGACTCCAATCCGTCTGTCATCTTTGCAACAATATCCGATGGTGCATAACCGGGAGGTGGACGAATAGCAAGCAATGGACTATAAGATTGAACCCATTCCTTCGGAATTTCAATCCAAGGGGCCAAATCATCAAGAAAAATCAACTTTTTATCACATGTACCAACCATCCCATGATCTCCAACCATGATTATAGTAACATCCTCAAAAACCCCTCTTTTTTCTAAACCATCAATCAACCTCCCAATCATACGGTCAATTCTGGCAACAGCCTCAGTAATCTCCGGATCATCAGGTCCAACTTGGTGACCCTGATGATCGGGATCCTCAAAATACAATGTCATAAACGCAGGAATCTCACTACTAGGCAGATCAAAATAACTTAAAACGGTATCAACTCTGTCCTCAAATGGAACAGAACCATTATAATCCATACAGAACTTTTCAGGGCAATTCCAAGAACCTTTCTTTACCTCACTTCCAGGCCAGAAATAAGTAGCAGCCTTTAACCCATGATTGACCACGGTCTCCCAGAGTGGTTCACCTAACCACCATTTAGGTTCGTGACTTGCCATAGTGAAAACCTCACCAGTGTTAGGATCCACAAAATAATTATTTATAATACCATGGCAAGCAGGATAAAGGCCAGTAACGATGGAGTAATGATTAGGAAAAGTAAGAGTAGGGAAAACAGGAATCAAACCCATCTCAGCTTCCGTCCCATTAGCAATCAAACGGTGGATGTTTGGCGTTGGAGTCTTATATTGGTACCCAAATCGAAACCCATCAGAGGAAATCAAGAGAACCACTGGTTTTTCCAGTTTCTTCAGAGGGCGAGACAAGTTGTGAACTGTACCTGAAGAGGAAGATGATGAAGAGGGAGAAGAGTAAAAGAGGAAAGCAAAGGCAAAGGCAGCAGAAAGCGCAACGCAAGTTAGGAGTATTAAAGCAATAAAGACGATGGTGGTAATGGGCTTTGAATGATATTCTTTAGCTTTAGGGTCTAAAGAAGAATCAGTGTTGAAAGAAAGGAGAGCTGTGGATTGGCTTGAAGGGTCTTCTTCTTGGGTGGGGATTGGTATTGGCTTTGTTTGACTCAATGAATCAGAACTCGTCATTTCTTTCTTCTTCCTTTTCTACAGTTTCTGTGAATTCGAGGCCTCAGAGACAGAGAAAAGAGAGATCAAAAAGACTAGAAGCCACAACGAAAAGTGGTAGTTGGTAGAGTAAACTGTAAGATTTTGAGGTGTTTCAGCGATGGTTGGTAGCAAGTCGCCTAACCAAGTCTTTGTTCAGGAAGGTGAAACGTACCAATGGAGTCCAGCTGAAGATAAAACAAGAGTTGTTCCACTTCAACGTTTTTATTTGGAATATTCCAGTCCCCGGAGAAAGATCCGACGATATCCATTAAGGTCCTTTCCACTTGTTCGGCTCTGATGTGTTATGGGTCCTTAATACAATTATTTTCGACCCTGGTAAAGTTCTACATTCCCAAGTTTAGAACGCCGTCGTTTTAATGGCAAATTCATCCTGGTAGCTCAAGGAAAAATCTTCCCTAGTTTCTTCAGTAAAAGCCCGATAGAAACAGAAAACTACAATAGATGTAGCAGAGCAGCTGATCAAACTAAAAGTTTGTTTAGAAAAATATATATTAGTCAATAAAAATCGAAACTTAGGGGAGCAATGGCGTATCCGAGCATGGGAGAAGCCCATAGAAGAATCACAGATTACCTAAACAAGTTCTCCGACGCCGTTTCAGACCAAGATGTAGCTTCCCTTGCTCAGCTCTTTTCCTTCTCCTCCAACTCTCCCTCTCTCCTTTCCCTCGCTGATGCCCTCAACTTCTTCCAGGTCTCTCTCTCTCTCTCAGCCTCTTTATTCTCGTCTGTTGTTTAATAAATAAAACAAATTTGTCAAATTTTACTTCTTTTTGTTTTTTTTGGTGATAGGATGCTAATAGATTGATAAAGCAATCAGATAAGTTTTCACAGTTTGGTGAGATTTTGGCCCCACTTTTTCGTTCTCTGCAAAGCTATAGACTTGGAAACTTGGTTGATGCCTACCATGCCTTCGAAAAATTTGCAAAGTAACTTTCTTTCTCCTCATTTGGGTTTTAAGATAATTCTTTTTGTAGTCATTTTTATTAATTAGAGATGTGTATGCAATGTGGTAATAGTTAGAATGTTGTTTTGGCAGTGCTTTTATTCAAGAGTTTCGGAATTGGGAATCATCGTGGGCATTGCAGGCATTGTATGTTATTGCTTATGAAATTCGGGTTCTTGCAGAGAGGGTATTGATGGCATAACCTTGTAGTTTCCGTTTTTTGAAGAAAAATTTTGTTTTGATGTATATTGAGATTGGAACTTGTAATTGTAGGCTGATAGAGAGTTGGCTTCTAATGGAAAGTCCCCAGAGAAATTGAAGGGAGCTGGCTCATTCCTTATGAAAGTATTTGGTGTTCTCGCTGTAGGTTTCTTTGTCTTCCCAATACTTGTTATTGGCCTGTTGTCAAGTTGTTTAGACTTCATTTGCTGAAGTAATAGAAATATTTGCTAACTGTCGGTTATGACATGTGGATTATAGGGAAAAGGCCCAAAACGTGTCGGAGCATTATATGTGACTTGCCAGCTGTTTAAAATCTACTTCAAGGTAATATTTATGTTTCTTCTAACTTCGCTTTCTGCTTTGCTAGAAACTTTCACCCTATACGTTTTATATTTATCATGAGTTGGGTTTTGGTAACTTGATGATATAGTTAGAACCAAGCGTTTCAGAGGTTAAGAAGCATTTAAGATTTTTTGTATGCCTCTGGCCAAGGATATCATTTCTTCTTCCTCCAACACGCAAACTAAAGGCAATGCAAATGATTTTCAGTTTCAACATCAGTTTGAAATATTTCTATTTTAAACTGAGAATGATGTAGGTGGCTGTGCTATATTATGAACTTTAACTTTTACTTTGCAGCTTGGTACAGTTCACCTCTGCCGAAGTGTCATAAGGAGTATTGAAACTGCTCGTATTTTTGATTTTGAGGAATTTCCTAGAAGAGACAAGGTAAGTTGTGTTTGAAAGATGTTTCCCCTCGGGTAGGCTTCATGTATACAACTATTTGATGGATGCTGCCTTCTTTTCCAGGTCACTTACATGTATTATACTGGGCGTTTGGAAGTTTTCAATGAAAATTTTCCTGCTGTAAGTAATCTAAATTCTGTGGAGAAAGATTTGCTTTTTGCATTTTGAGATAAACATTATTTGTGGTTGTTTTCTTTACCCAGTTTATAACTAGCATCCAATCTTCTCATTATTAGTTTTATCTGGTTTCATGCTGTCAACTTTGGATGACATAAGTTGCGTCGTATGGAATTTGATTTCCCCATCCATTTATGCATGTAAAAACTTCAAAATTATTATTCAATGCAACAAGGGCTGACTCTTGTACTGTATACTGTTGTAATTGGGCAGGCTGACCACAAGTTATCATATGCCTTGACACATTGCAACCCTCTCAGAGAAGCAAATATAAGGTTTGTCTCTGATTGTGGTTTTTGTATATATCTTGCATCTGCATGGTAGAGATTCTAGAGAAGCCAAAATAACTGATCTATTGAAAACTGTCTGTATTGATCATTTGAAATCATCTGTGCCATTTAATAATCAGTAGCTGAAATTTCTCCTGTTTGTATGTAACAGCCTTAAACATTTATGCTGCAACTTTTATTTCATTTCAACTGGTATTTCTCACTTGTTTTGATGAGTTTTTTAGTTCCCATTGATGTCCTTATTTTGTTGTTTAATTTCTTATTTCAATGTGGGCTTAGAAGTATCAAAATTAATCAGATCTTGGTGCTGATAAAGTTAAATTCTCCTTTCAGTGTTGAAAGTACTCAATTCATAGTGCTATATTTTCAATGTGTCCCACGCATTACCTATGTGGAGAATGGGTTTTAGTGAGTGGGAGTACTTTGATGTTAGAGTTTGGAAAATGACACAAAATATACTATATTGACATTGTCTGGATAAATAAATGCTTCAGTGTCAAGCGCAGTTGTTTCACGTAAAACTTACTTCTGCATTAAACTTTTCATGAGAATCACAAGTTAAGTCTTAAGTTTTTGGCATTTCTTTTATTCTTATATCATTTGTTTCGGTTTGTGAAGGATGATATTAAAATACTTGATCCCAGTGAAGCTTTCATTAGGCATCTTACCTAACGCTTGGCTCCTAGAGAAGTATAACCTCCTTGAGGTACAACATCTTTTTATTATGTTTACTTACTTTTCCATCTATGTAGTCTTTATGCACAAGAAGATGCTTTGTGCTTATGCTTCTTTCCCTGTGAACATGTATTTATGATGTGATTTTTTTATTAAAAGGGAATGAAAGGGCATATTGCAAATTCAGTTTAAAATCTTTTGTTGTTGGATCTTACATATCAAATTAGTAATTAGCAATGGTTGTATTCACAGTACAGCAATGTTGTACAAGCTCTAAAAAGGGGTGATCTCCGACTTCTTCGACATGCTCTCCAAGAACATGAAGACCGGTATGTTTGTCTTCCTGTTTTTGTTCTCGACAAAAATAACTTGTTAAGACTTGTCTGACTTCTCCCCATCTGTCAGGTTCTTGAGATCTGGCGTATATCTTGTTCTAGAGAAGCTAGAGCTCCAAGTTTACCAAAGATTGGTGAAGAAAATGTAAGAGCTTACATTGAATGACCCTATATGCTATTTTATTGAATAGTTTTTGCTCAGATATTGATTGTAACATTCTTATCTTGTAGTTACATCATCCAAAAGCAAAAGGACCCTAGCAAAGCTCACCAGTTGAAGTTGGAAGTAATTGTCAAAGCATTGAAATGGCTTGAGATGGACATGGATTTGGATGAGGTACTTATTTTCCGTTACATTCTTCCCTGCAGTTGTATTTAGTTTTGAGAACTTACCATGCTCGATGTTCCATTTTTACAGGTTGAGTGCATAATGACCATTCTTATATACAAAAATCTTGTGAAAGGGTACTTTGCTCACAAGAGCAAAGTAGTTGTTTTAAGCAAGCAAGATCCATTCCCCAAATTAAATGGAAAGCCTGTAAACTCATAGAGAACTCTCTGAAATGGTAACATACAATTTTGTTGAACTTTTGACTTTTGATGATGATAGGCAGGCAAATTTAATGTAAAGAATATATAGAGTTACACTGGTCAAGCCTGATTTTCCTGGAGTTTATGTTGGATTAACCAAATGGAGTTCTATGTAATTTCAGTGCCTACGGATTCTTTTCGATCTGCCTAAGTCATCAATAAAGAGCTTCGTTTTCCTATCTTATTTATCTGTTCTTAGTTTAACTTGCTATGCCTGCTTGCTCAATTCAATTCTCTCAAGTACACAGTTATTCTCTACTTTGAACTTTGTTTCGTCAATATACATTAAATTAGTCTCCATACATTGAAAGTCATAAGATAAATTCTTCTCTATATATTAAAACTCATATTATAGATTAGCCAAAATTCTTTCTTATAAGCAGTTACAGTATTTCTTTATCAAAACGTCGAACATTGAGACTCTCCATTAACACACGATACTGTGAAAGGCAATAAAATATCACGAGCAGCCTGCAGCTGTCGTAAATAAGACCAAAGCGAAAATACTTTGGAAGCAAACAATTTTTCTACTCTGGTGCACCAAGGGAAGAAACAGAAAAAGCTACACCATAATTCACACATGTACGGATGTATGCTTCAAATCAGCTGCTGATTCATACTTAAAGCAGTGAACCAATTCATTTTTCAAGAACCATTGGAGGGGAGAGTACTCTGTATATTTGAAGGCATTAGGATGTTGAAACCATCTGCCGCAGTTGACACAATCATTCCAGGAATCTGAGCATGCCAGTGAAGTTCTTTCAAGTCCTTCTGCCCCTGTTCATAGTGGAAAGTGTGTTAAAAGATAAGAGTCAGCAAGCATCTTCAATTCAATACTGGGATTAAGTACCTGATGAACAAAAAGAAGTTGCGGAGGTAAATCTTCTGGGGCATTAACTTGCTCCCTTGTTTGAGCTTTGAACTCTGCTTCCTCTTCTTCATCCTTTTCTAAAGAAAGATCCCATATTCTGAAAATTGAAGCAAAAGAAAATAAAATAATCAATTAACAAAATTCAGAGTGAGAGAGATCTTCAAATGTCCGATATCCTACTCCTGGCATCTCATCTATCAAGTTTGTTAGCCTCCATATTCTACCACTTTACAAGTACTCACGTTAACTGATTATCAGTTGACGAAACTGCCAAAGTGGAGGCTTCATGTGGGCTCCACTCAATGGATGTCACAGGATATTTATGGTACTTGAAATGAGCTACCACTGTATTTCCATCCTGCCCACGCAAAACAATAGATCAGTACCATCAGTATTAGCAACACTAAATTATAGTTGAAGGCTGGGGTAGAGTTTGTTAGAAACCAATCTTCTCAAATAGAAACAAGAAAGCGAAGCTTAAAAACTTTAATTGCAGCTTAAGATAATAAAAAGAGCAGAACAGAAAACAAAAGAAGCACTAATGAATCTAGAAAAAATCTTCAAAAACCGGATGACATAACATTTAAGATAAACAAAACTTAGCCTACTCAATTATAAGTCCACAGTCAGATTTCTTTTTTGATCAAACCAAGTACCACCCTACCAAAGGTTAGTAGACATACCTTGAGCAACCTAAAATCATGAATTGAAAATGTTCCATCATCACTTCCAGATGCTAACATACAACTAGCCTGCCTAATAAAGAATCAAGGATGCACAAAGTCAAAAAGTTTGATGATCCAAAGGAAAGAGTTGAAACAAAAGAGCAATTGAATCTATCAAAACTGAAGTACCTGTTCCATGAGATTACATTCACATCTGCATCATGTGCCTTAAAAGAAGCTGCAGGTGACTTGCCTAAACGGATATCCCAAATTGCAATAGTCCCATCCACAGAACAGGAGACAAATGCATGAGGTTCAGTTGGACTCCACTGCAAGTTAAAAGTTGAAAAGATAAATGGTTACTAAAATAAGATAGTGCAAAACAATGTTTAAGCACAAGTTTAGACTTCAAAAAGATTCAATCATTACTTCACGACAAAATTACACACTTGTAGGTCTTCTACACTTGCAGAATGTCCAACAAATGGAGTAGCATCAACATTCCACGTTGAACCAGATGTAGGCTCCCACAAATGAATACAATTCTTGCAGTCCCCTAGAAAATATGAAAAACATCACACTCACCATAGACAATCTTCAATCCATAAAGCAAATGACAGTTGAAGATTACTTAGATGTGAAATGAGAATTTTTCACAATTGTTACTCAACAATACCCGTAACAAGTCTTCCAGCGACAACAGGACTCCAATCAATTGCATAGCCTTCATCTTTGTGGCCACGGAAGTTAACTAATGGAGCCTGATTAAAAACTGAAGAAGCTCCCTGGACACCGTCCGTTTCTGACTCTGCTAAAGCATTCAGATGAGAACTGAAGTCCCACACCTGCAACAAGCTGTATCAAATAAGCAAAGCAAGCAAAAGATCATGTCCCTAGTATGCACAGATACGAGTGTTTCCCATCATTAAATGCATTATATTACAATTTAAAAGCATTATAAATACACCCCACCCCCCCCACCCCCCCACAAAAGAAAAAAAAAAAGAAAGAAGGCAAAAGATATGGAAAGGTAAATAGTGAATTTTCTCTCTCCATACTACTTGTAAATCAACAGAATTTACTCCTCATTATCCATTTTCCCGTTCTCTAAAATTCTCTCTCCATTATAGACAATTCTCCTTTTTCTCAATTTTGATAGTTTTTTTGCCAATCAGTTAATTATTAAATTTTAGATTGCTAAGACTGAACAAAATCTTTGGATTAGGAGTCTGACCTGAACATGGCCACTATCAGCCCAAGATGCACATATGTGAGGATTTTGTGTCATTGCACGTATACGGTTAACACATCCATGATGAGCTACCTTTCGCAACTGCAATTTAAACAAGAAAAAAAATTAAGGAAAAATATAAATCAAATAATAAACATCAGAGATGATATAACTAGAAACGTCAAAGGAAACAAGAAATTGCCTGCAAAACTGGTGCACCAGATCCACCTTCTTCCTCATCTTCCCTATCCTCACTATCACTACTTTCACCATCCATATCAGGATCATCCTCCATGGATTTGGTAGGAACTAGTTCACGTCTTTTCCCTGAAACATTACTTACTTTAAACACTCCAATAGAGTTCCAAGAAGCTTTCTCAGCCTGCAGAATCATAAACATGAACATCAATAAGAGTATCATTATGTAACACGACAAGAAGAGATCAAATGAACATAACACAAAGTCGAAAATATAGACCATCTCCTCTGAGTAACTAAGACAAGAAAAATTTTGCTCTATCGATCTCTAAACTTTTACCTAAACTTAATATTAATAAGAAATGATGCTTACCTGAGTGCCTGCAACAAAATACACTGTATGTGGAAAATCTTTCCTGTCTGAACCCAATGTATCACGAACAATATCAAAGCTGTCAAAAAAATCCAATTTCTACGTTAAAACCAATAAGACGAAACAAACATAAAATACAAAGTAATCACTTTTCAAAATCCCACTTTACATATTCTATAAACATTTCCAATTTCTCTCACTTTTCCCATTACTTTCTCGGCAAACAAACACCAAAAAATGGAAAAAATTCAAAAATTACCTCAAACAAGGCCATCCAATGTGAAAAGCGTGAAGAGAATTATAAGCAGAAGAGTCACACTGAAGCTCTTCTCCTTCCTCCAATTCGTCGACTCCTGGTTGCCAAACCCTTGGCTGAATCGTCGGCACTGAAGAAGATGTTGATGCTCCATCTCCTTTCTTTGAGCCCTTTTTACGAAACCAATAACAGAACAAATTTTAGTGTTAATAAAAGAACCCAAATTTAAGCTGAATTCTAAAGAATAGATTAAGAGTTGGTTTTTGCAATTGAACCTTGTTCTTTCTCTTTGCCTTTTTAGGGTTTTTGAGGGTGCGAGCCATTTGGTTTTTGTGGGTTTATTCAGAGTAGCAGTGAGAAGAAGAAAACACAGAGGGTTTTTTGGTGGCCGCTAGGGTTTAAGATTCTATTCACTCTCGCCTATTAAGATTATTTTTGGGTGTTTTTAAAATGTTCCAAAAACTTTACTATATTAGCAAATAGGTCCCTTACTTAAATAAGTACTGCGAATCTAGCTAAATACTTGCTTGAAACAAAAATTATTTTGATGTTATTACTATAATCATACATTTGTTAAGGCTAATATACTTAATTAAAATGAGTAAATATTATTTACTTATATAAATCATTTTAATTTACAACAAGTGATATTTACATTAGATCTGAAGAATTGAAAAGATGGGAACAAATTTACATCTCCTTTTGTACTGGTGTTTTGTGTGCCACTCATTTTGGTAGTGTGAATTGCACAGGTCCAGGCTTGAACCATTACAGATGTTGTGAGGTCGACCCCTACAAGTACAGCTGCCATAAGCCATGGCCCAGCAGGGAAATAATAGAGTTACATAAATATGATTGGAACATTCTCCTTTACATATGTAATGCTGGAAGAGGATTAAGTCAACAAATCTTTTGCATATGTAGAGGATCCAAAGAATTCCAAACTGTCAGCAGCTGACCTTATCTGCAAGGTCATATAACAGGCAATGCACATCAGCTTATGCATAACACAGCTTATTCACCTTTGTTTTGTTTTGGGTTATAGACTTGAACTTTGTGTTTCTTTCAGAGGATAATGGAAATGTATGTGGAGGAAAACTTTTGGGAAAACAAGGAAACAAGAATTTAGACCATATTTCAATAGAAAATTGCAGAGGTTGTACAAGGGTCAAGGAGGCAAAGTTTGTAAAGAAAGGTGAGCACAGTCTATGCCGGTAAATAGAACGAAATTCAACAACAAAGAAATGGATACCTGTACGTCCTTTTTCCTGTTAGGAGAACCAGCGTTGCAAAGCCCACCATGATTATGGCCCTAATCACCTGAGGTCAAGAAGAGAAATTAGCTGTGACATTTTGCAGAAAGAAGCTCATCAACAACTTGTTTCTATCCCCTATTCATAAGGGTATTAGACAACAAAATAGAGAGTATAGAAACAGAAAGAGGATTCATTGAGTATGATTCAAATTTTGATGAAATTCTAGATATTAAAGGAATTCACACTCTAAGCGACTCCATGAAGTTAGAATTCTATTGTCATTTCAGTTGATATTAGATAATTGCAGTTCATTGCAAATGCATCGATTTCTAAGTTGATTGTTCTGTCACATTAAGATCTTGGCCAGCAATGGTAAACAATTGTTAAATCATGTCGCGAGTCTTAAAACTTTTGAGACAACAATGTAGCAATGAATATGTAGTTATTTGAGCATGGTAGGAGTGTCATACAGGCTTATATTATACTTTGAAGGTTACCGGCATGCTTTATTTGAGTCACTAACACAACTCTCACCAAGAGTAAAATTCATATAAAAGTCACGAGGAAAAGTAAAAACGTTTTGCAATATGTCACCGTTCATAAGATCTCCAGGATGATTCTAATAACTTCTAGCAAGGGTAAATATATCTCGGTGCTTCAATAGTAAAAGAAAAAAATATAACCTGTCCAACTGGTCCTATGGTGTGTTCAGGATCCCTGGAATTCTCGAGCTTTGGTCTTAACATTTGAGAAGAAGTCTTCGCATCTCCATTCGCCTCATTAGCAGTTCCAGCATCAGTATTAACCTGAAAATAATAGGCAAATAAAATGGTTTGGTTATATGATAGTAGAATCAACTGCAAACAGATTCAGTGCAACCAAATTTGAACATATTTAATCAGCTGCACCCTGATCAACTTCCAGTTTATTAGCCGGCTGCTCTTTGCCAAACCAAGAACTTAATATAGGTATCCTCAAATGACACTAGTGTTCTTAATCCATCAGAATACAAATGCATTAGAAAGTTTCAGCTTTGCATTACGTCCACTCAAGGGAGATGACAGTCTAACATGGATATGGCATTAACTGAGCATCATTCTGAACTGTTCCTATATACGCTGAATATGACCAAAAATATAGTAATTATCTAATTGGCAACATCTGTCTAAGTTCTAAATTCAGTACAGTGCTTGACACTGTGTGCAATAAGTCAGCTCTTCATACGATGGTTCCTTCTGCCTTTTATTCCATCAAGATGCATGATTAACATGTGGCAATATAAACTCCTAGTTCCAATCATATTATCCTGAGTGCTCCTAATTAGTAACTATACGAATGGTGTAGATCTTCAATTGCTAAGAATGGTGCTCTGAAATAGGTTGTGCTAGCTTGTTAATGTAGTGTCATTGGTGATTTTATTTCCTCTGTCCAATTCCAAGACCAGTGAACTATCTTTTGAAATTTCAACCTAGTTTTGCTTTTCTTCCCCTTTTGAAGAATGTTTTTATCTTTATATGCTGCAGAAGGATTAATAAATTTTCTTACTTATTTTTCCAAGCATCAGCATGCTCCCATGATGTACAATAACTACAGATCATTGCAGTTAACAGAGAGAAACAGTAATTTGCAGTAATATCTTTTTCGTTTTTTTACTAGTTTATGGAAATAGAAACCCAACACAAATTAATGGCTGATTCCAACACCAGTAATTTTCTTCTGCTGTATTATAGTACAAACATGATAAAAGGAAAGAGGCCTAAAATATTAAAATTAATTAATCCAATATCAGTGAAACTTCAAGGCTATATGGGATATCTTACAAACCTCTCCTGCATTTTTTGGATCACGAGCACTCAACTTTATTTGGTGGGTATTTGTTTCATCCCAGAAACCTCCCGTTAGATCCATTATTTGTTTGCCACCAGTTGTTATGCACAAGCATTTTGCTTCACCTGGAAATATCCAGAGACCAGAGCTTCCAATGGAACAGTGGTCATCACTCCAAATAGCCACTGATTTCAATTTTTCATTTAAATTTCCTTCAGCTCCTTGTGGATCCTTTAGGAAAATCTCATCCCCACCCTCCTTTGCTACTAAATTTCTGCTAGAATGCTGCTTTTTGGAAAACAAGTTCCAAGATTGGTTGCCTTTTGAATGCCTGTCAAGCATTCTGCGGGAGAATGCAGCTTTCTCTAATGCTCTCTTGAAATCTTCAGAATATTTCTTCTCTTCCTTCTCGTCACTTTCTTTCTGTATAACTTTAAATTTATTCTTCAAATCTAAATTTTTGCTTTCAGTTTGAATACATGCTGCATTTGACTCCTTCAACTGCTGAGTTTCCTTAGATGATGCAGCCTCATATATAGGTTTGACACAACCAATTGTCTGTACTTTTTCCCTAAAATATATATTGGTTTGTTCAAATTCTTTTGTGTTGATCCTTCCTAAAGTTGCCTTCGGTGGTATGATCTTTTCTGTCTCAACTTCATTAAGATGTGAATTTGCTAGAAAAGAGTCCACTCCAATGCTTCTTGTCTGAGGTTTTTTTGGCAGTGGTTTAATAGAAGGTTTCATTTCCTGCCACAGACCAAGTTCCAGTAATCTTAATCATGTGCCTAAGTTGCAATAACAAATGAGAATTTTAAGCAATATACTCCATATACCTGATTTAGACCTCCCTCGAACGCACTTATCATTTTCCTTACATTGCTATGGGCTTTCCCAGCTGCTCCCAGCTTCTTGGAGTTATTAGCCTTCTCCAGTTCTGAAGGAACTGAATCCTGGGGACATAATTCAGTTAGATGGACATTGGCTGCTTGTGACATGGACTTGGCTGATGAATATGCTTCTTTTTCATCTCTGTCCTTCTAAATATTCATACGAAATGAGCATTAGGAAAACTTAGGGTCTGTTAGTCAAGAGGAAAAGGTTTGCAGTGCTGAGTAATCCTTAACTGTGCTCTTTTGCTTCTCAACAGAATCACTTCTGTCTCCGCTGTCAATATCAAATTTGGCATCCTTGAAGAAATTGAAACGGACCGACACTAAACTGGCTTCACTGGGTACCAATCCACTTTGGAAAAAACTTTCATCTGAGCCTTGAGAAGAGAGAGCACTCAATACGTCAAGAGAAAGCCTTTTACAGTTTGATATGTGCAACACCAATTAATTCAATTCATTTTTGCCTCATGCAAGTTTCGTTTTTCTTTTCTTTTCATGTTTCCCCATTTTCAGGGCAAAAGGAAAATGAAAGCTGAGTAAGCAGGATCAAACCTGAAACTTCATTACAACTGACAGAAGCACTTATGGGACTTCCATGACCACTATTGCAAAGCTCATCATGTTTCTTCTTCAGTGCGGATTCTCTCTGCAAATGAAATCAAAATGAAACTTAATTATACTAGGAAAAGGACTAAGTTTATGAAGATCACGAAATTTAAAGGGAAATTCAATAGGTTTGTCATTGATCATACAGGTAATGCAACTCATTGGATATAATATACATTCGGTAGTACTGGTTTATAGTGTAACTTATCATGAGAATATCCGAAATAACTTTTAGATGTAAATATGAACAAAAGATCATGTCATTCGTTGAAGAGACTAAATAGATTCCATTTCCAGGATCATTTGTAAGTGCTCTACCTTTTTTACACTATACATTAAGCATTTGATTTTTAGGTTAATTTACAGCTATAACAGGGGATTAGTTCTGTAAGTCCTCTAGGAAGAAATATAATTCATTGCATCGAAAGAAAAAGGATTAAAGTAAAGGAAACAATACCATTGTCCGGATTCTCTGGCGCTCTTCTTCACTGAGGACAAACTGCAACTTCATATGTACATGCCCGCCTCCTTCAAGGAAAAATATGTCATCCCAAACCCCTTTCTCAACCACCAATCTGGTCTCAACTCCTGCCCCAGAACATCATTATTTCAAACAGCCTTACTACTAGAAAGAAACCCAATATTTCAATGAACGTGGAAAACGAATAGGGGCAAACCTGTATGAGAAATTTGATTTCCCTCCGCATCTTGAAGGGTTATAATCAAATTGTCCCGAAGGGTTGTCAATGGACTGTGCCACAGCAAACATGTTGGAATTCAAGAGCAAAAGTCAGAAGTTGAAAACAGAGCAAAACCGAAGGCAAAAATACAGAAGTCGATACAGTGTTCAAAATCACTACAATGATAAGTCTCCCTTGTCCCAAGTCTGGTACTCTCTTTTTCCCATGGAAACTGCAATATAAAGGATGGAACTTTAGTTAGATTTTCTCCTCACTTTGTATGTATATGTATTGCCATTCAAGATACGAAAATTAGGACAAAAAAAAGTGTTGATTGACTACCTTTTATTGATGTTTTTGAAGATGTTGATGATGAGTCAAGCCCATTGAAATCCAGAACTGAAATGAATCAAATAAGAAAGTACTGAAAAATGAGTATGAACTTTAACTGCCCTTTTTGAATTACAGTTAGAACAGTTCTTGGTACCTGTAACTTGGATGGTTCCTGGCATTTGAGATAAAGCTTTGCAGTGAGACTAGAAAAATAGAGATGATGATAAGAGATTAACCAGTGACTAAAACTAGCATTTTTATTTCAAATTTGATGTTTGGAAGGATGGCTTCAAAGAAAAGCATGGATGCACCCGGGAGAGTTTTAGAAGTGGTACTGGATGGAAATATATATATGTGGCTGGGCTTGAAGGAAAGGTTACATAACGGACCCCACTACTTCAAAACTATTTATTTACTCACTTCAAAGCCGGGGGAGTGGGAAGCCAAACTCTATCTTTTGTCTCACTTAGAGCTACTAGGTGCAGTTGCCTGCAGGCCCTTTACCCCAAAGTAGGCATCCTATTAAGGCAACTTCGCAGAAGGAGAATAAGTAACTACCTCTCCGTTTAGTTTTGTTGCCTTTTGTTTCTGATAGGTAAGTGATGTTGTTAATCAAAGCAAGACACACTTTCACTGGTATATTACATTGACTACACTGAATTCTTTTGCTGTTTTGCCAATCGAGAAGATTCAATTAGTTTGGGAGGAAGCAGACGTGATGAATGTCTTAGACCAGTGAGTACTGCAGTTAAATCTAATACAAGTTCTTAATATCCAATCTCATAAGAGATGGGCAACAAAAACCAAAAGCCCATCTTTGGTATGCGATTTTTCAAAACCACACTTAACAGTGACTTGTTCTTCATTACAACAACAATTTGTCAATAGGAGGAGAGGCCCCAGTCAAATTCTAGGCATAGATTTGGCACGAATAAACTGCTTGAGAATGGCCTTCTCTTCATCAATTCTTTTTCTTTCTTCAGGATCCTTAGGCTTGACTTTTCTTTTCTCTTCCAATATCCACTCAAAAAGTTCACGCTGCTGATCTTCAGGTATAGGCTCCAATATCTTCGGTGGTGTTGCAACAACCGGAAAGATTGGTGGTTCCTCATAAACTGGGGTAGGTGTCAATGGAGCAGAAGAAACATCTGCTTCAGTTTTACTCTTGTCCGGCTCCATCTCTATTTTAGCAGGTTTGTTATCCACAATGCTTGAATTCTTCTTTCTTGCCTTTGCAAACATGTAAGCTGCAACAGGGAGAAAGAATATCAGCTAATTCCAAAAGAGCACTCAAAATTAAGCAAATTTTATGTCCCACAATAGAGCCATAAACCTTCCAATTCAGATCATACTTTTGCTTCATAGGCCTTCAAACAAAAAATGAAATGGTGCATGAGTGGAAGATTCAGTTGATCCAGGCCTACTAGTTAACGCGAAGCTCATTGATCATGGTTTATCATCACTATCACTGCAAATCAATATTATGCAATTCTTCCATGAATTCTAATCCTCAAGAATGATAAATGCAACCAAATGACAATTATTCTTGAATAATAACAAAGACACTAATTTTAGAATGAAAACTCAATGTTTCTCTGAAACAAAATTCTACTGCAAGGACAGCAACAGAAAAAAAAAGTTGCAAAAAAATTGCCATTGACCAGTTGTAAAAGTTTAACACTAATAGGCGTTACTCAAACAGAAAGAACAATACCAGTGACTAAAATTAAATGTCATCAAGGCAAAAGCTTCGACAACAACAGAGTACCTAGATCACTTGCCCCTCTCACTTCATAGAGCATCCCTTCAACCTCGCATAGGAAGTAACAACTATTTATGCCCACATTCTCTTTGATTTAGAGCATCACATTGTGCTCAATGACTAAGGAAAAGAGCCAAAAATGTCACACAAGCTAAAAACCAAAGCGCACTTGTCAAAAGCTCAAGCTCCTAACGGCATTGACCTGTTGACAAAATCTTTCAGGAACTTTGTTGCACAAAGCAAAAGAACAATTAAGTCACACGTAATATTAAAGAAGAACCCACTATCAGGACCAAAACAAAAACATTAATTCTACGAAATGCTCCATCAACAAACTAATGAGAGATCAAATCTTTCCGCTTCTAACCTACATCATAATAACAGCCTTCCTTACAAGTTTCATCAACCCATTCGCATAAATCTTCCACTACATCATTTAACAAAATCTCTTTCACCTAGTCAATATATCAAACACATCCTAAATCGACCGAGGAAAAAAAGAGGAATGCTACAAAAGGAACGTCAACCCATTGTTAAGAAACTAATACTATTAGATTTCAAGAATATAAAACCAAAATAAAAATACCTCCAAGAGCGAGATTGGAAATCAAGAGAATGCGCCAAATGGGCTTGTAGCGGTTAATGCGGGATTCCTTAGAAGACAAAGGAGGGGTTTCCATTTGAGAATGAGAAGGTTCCATTTTCTTCTTCTTTTTTTTTTTTTTTGGGATGGGTTGATTGATGAGCCTGGAAGTAACAAAGGGTTTCTCTGTTGTTCTTGTGGGGTTTTTGGAGGGTTTATTAATCCTGGAATCCAATTTCAAACTTGCGTTGCACTTCAACTCTGTTTGCTTGTGCAAGTAAACATTGATCAACTGATTCTACACGGTCAGCGTTGTTGGTTAGGTGTCGGAACAGTAGAAGTCCAACCCTTGACTACGATAAAGGCCTAGGTATTGGGCCTAGGCCTTCCAGTTCCAGCCTTTCTAGCAACTGGACTCTTTATATATATACATAGGCCCATCAAAGCCCATTCTGTATGTTCTATCCCATTATTCTTTTTATTTAAGAAAAAAATTATCTGAATTCAATTTTTTATTTTTCAATCTAATATGCCACGAGTATACTCACTTATAAGTTACTATTTTTAACATCTAATAAATCTCTCCTTTTTTTTTAACACAAAACATGATCTTTATGCTAATCAATCATAATTAGTGAAGACTATGTGGAATTATTTGTAATTAAGAGGTATACTTATTATTGGATTACATTGCATAACTGTGATTTTTCCTATCTTCTAAGTGAAAAATGATTAAACATAAAGGTATAATGTTTTAAATAATTTTAAATTATTTAAAATATTTAAATAAATTATTTTCTTATTGAATTCAATCAAACTTTTATATTTTTATTTTAAATTAAATAAATCTTTATTATTAACAATTAACTAATAACCATCAGACAAAATATCGCTTATTATTTTATATTCAAATGACACTTATACAAAGAGTGAAAATACTATATCATCATGCGATGTCACTATCAACTATGACATATTAGCATTTATCAGCACTAATAGCCATTATCTATAAAAAATTATTTAGTTTAAAATAAAAATATAAATATTTAATTGAATGTAATAAAAAAATTTTATTTAAATTTTTTTAAATTAATTAGAAAATTTTTTAAATATTATACCAAAATAAAATTATTAATTTAAATTAAATGAGTATTTTCTTGTTACTTTTGAAAAAGTTTTGATTTAAAAAAAATATAAATCAACCTTTTCCTTCGCCTTTTCCAATTTCTTACGTGTCAAACCAAAAGCAAATGACGAAAAGAAAGTAATTATTCTTTCAACCATTTCCCTCTTTTTTCTTCTTGTCTTCCTACAAAACACAGGTAAAAGGTTTTCTTTTCTCTTCTTTCCTTTTTTTTCATTTGGAAAGAGACGGCGGTGGTCCCTCCGGTCTACAACTGGCTCCCCCAGTTGCACATAAATTGAACAAAGCCAAAGTCGCCTTAAAAACCCTATTCTTTTTATATTTATCTTTTGATAATGAAACAAATTACCTACCTAGTACCAGATATCAGTAAAAATATTGAAACACAACTCTTCAAATAATTCCTTCTTCCTATGCTATCAAATGGGTATAAAGCCTATTTGGTTTCATATAATTAAACCTTATGTCAAATTAAGTATTGCTAGTATTTTTTCTGAAATTAGTGCTGCACCATCCAACACAATTCGTGGTTAATTCCTAAAATGATAAATATGTAACCTTAATTAACTACTTTAACATGTTATTATATTTTGTACTAGTATAATTAACTTTAGGCTATGGCTTGGGATAAGTGAGGGAATATGTCACTTTTGTAAATTTTGAATTCTAAGACTAATGAGGTGAGCTTCGATAAATGTTTTAGATTATTGTCATAGCATCCTTCATTTGTATCTCATCAAAGGGTATAATTAAGGAATTGTTAAAGTATGTTTTGAATATTTTAGAACTTTTTTATAATTAAGTTAGTCATCTTGACTTCATTATTGTGTCAATCTCTTTAATCCTTGTCATTAATTAACGAATAATTTGGAATGCTAAATAAGGAACCCAACTTACTGCTATATAATTTAGTGTAAATTTTAAAAATATTATATATATATATATATTATAAGAGATATTGTCAATATATAAAATAACAAATTATATTATAATTTGAATGAATTAAACAAATTCACAGGCTTTTTACCTCAATTCTATTTAATGCAAATCCACAGACTAAACTGTAAGATTGGTGCGCATTGTTGAAGGAGGGGAGATTTGGCAACGGGTGCGGGGTCAGTGTAGGCTGAAACCAAGTCTTCCACCTATATCTAGGCCTATATCTAGGCGAGAGATTTGATGCAGCGCCACTTACATTTTGAGATTACTATCGATCCACTTGAAGATAAAAAAAACTATGGAAAACCTTGCATCATCATAAGTAAAGCTCCACCACCCCACCGAAGAAAACTAGTTATAGTTTTCCAAGTAATCTGCCCCACCCAGTGAACTTGTTCACTGCTCATGAAGCGAATGCAGATCAAAGTCTCCAATCCCAGGTACAAATCCAGTTGTTTTTGTTGTACGTACTCCTACCTCTTAAAAGCTATGATCTGACTTGAATGGAGACAATGTCTAAGACAAAAGTACAATCTTCTAGGGTGACTTTCAGAATGCGCAGAAAAAGAAAAACAAAATAATAAAAAAATAAAGTTGTAACCCTAGACTTTGATTCATATATCACCATCATGATTATCAGAAAAAGGTCTGAAAAAACCTTTGCTAATCAATTAGTGAGTACTAATTTGTACAGAACCCCACGATCTTAATCAACACTATCCTAATTATTACTATAGTAATTAAAATAAATGAAAAAGTGTCAGCTGTGAAAATTGTTGTTCACGTGACTCGTATAGGTAGAGCTTTACATGTATTCACAATCCATGCTTACATTAGGTTGATTAGACCTTCTAACTTCGAACAATTGTTGTAAGAAAATTTGATGATAAATAGTAACTTAATTAATTTAATTATCTGTTCATCCTTGTTGAATACTCAAAAAGCAAAGATGAAAGAAAGAAACAAAAGTAAGAGAGAGAGAAAGAAACGTTCAAATTAATTAAGTTGATAAACATAATATTGATGAACAAGAGATCCATAAATTTTGGTTATCAACCCTTGTTGAAATCCAGCCTCAAACACTCAAAGATGTCCATGCAATTCTTTATCTCTTTGTTTATTTATGTCTAAATATTCATCACTCAGTCACTCATACAAACTCAGGCTTCGGACATTTATGATCTAGCAAAGCCAGTACACTCTCCCTAACATTACTCAAACTGAGAAAAACAATAAAGCTAGTCTAGCTAGCTACTTGAGAAATTTTCAACCATGAACAAGTCCGTACGATAAGGCCATCAGCAGGATCGCGGCTTCCTTCTCATCCTGAGGGAAAACTCGATGAAAAGCCGAGTTCTTGCTCAAGATTGTCCTCAAGTCCTCAAAACAAAGCTTCTTTCTACCTTGAGATTGGGAATTATGTTTGCACTTTTTCTTTAACTGTGCAACGCAACCACTATTACTTGATCTCTTGGATTTATCTTGAAGCTTACTCTTCATCGTTGGCGTTGTCTGAGCTGCCACAATAGTGCCATTTGCAGCCGCCGCTGCAGCCATAGCTCTTCTTGCTTTTCTTTGTCGAATTCCACAGGCGTTGCAAAGGGACTGCAGCCAAAAGGACAAAAGTTAATCATCTCAAAAGATTAAAAGAAAAAAAAAGATAGTTATTTTCTTTGAGAACATCTCTTCACTTAGATTTTAGCATGAGGGTAATAGATCAGAAAAACGAGTGGAAACTAAGTACCTTGGGACCTCTAGGTCCGCTCCTCCAAAGAGGAGTCTTGGTTGTGTTGCAATCAGCACAAACCCTAATTGTGATGTTGTCGTTATTGTTGTAAGAAGAGTTGCTGCTGTTATCTGGAGATGATGATGGCTGCTGCTTTTGCTCTACCAATTTCCGTGTAGAGCTATTCGATAAATCTGCATGATCCGAGCTTATCATCTTCCTCATCATCCTCATCTTTGAAGACATCCACTTAGCAGAACTATTCTCAATTTGATGATTTTCATTCCCTTCTTCTTTTTTGCGTAAAGATAAGTTGAGCCCACTGTCACTCTCCAACGGTTCATCCTGTGGAACATATATTTTAGCCTGAAATTAAGAAATTTATTTAAGTGATCAACAATCTATCCCTAAAAGGCTAAAGAAAAAAGAAAAAGAAACGAAAACCCTAAATGATCACAAAAAAAAAAAATCATGAAACGTGAAGTAAGATTACGGAAGATCAAACAAGTCTACATACCTGATCTTCTTGATACTGGAAGAGCTGATGGGGTTCCCTTTGATGACCCCCTGCTTGCTCTTGAACAGCTGGGTTGAAGAGAATAGGACAAGTAAGAGAAGAAGAAGATAAAGAAGGTGGTTGAGGTTTTAAGCTGAAAAGCTGGTGCTGTTGGTGTTGATCATCTTCGTTAAGATCAATAGGAAAAGGATAAAGAGATGAATAGCAATTACTAGAAGTCATCAGGAGATCAGCTACAGAGAGAGAGAGAATGCAGCAATCAAGTGATCAACAGTGATACTTGCTGTTGGCCAGTAAAGGAGGAGGATGTTTGAGATTAGGGAGATACGACGGGAAGCGATGAATGATAGAGAAAAGGCGAAAAAGGTCTACGCCATCGAGTGGTAAAACCCTTTTAAAGGAGAGATGATGAGAAAGAGTAACAGAGAGAGAAAGAGAGCCAATAAGAGGTTCACGTGAGTTCATATATGACACCCAAACAAACAATTTAAAAAGACAAAGGAAAAGGAGGAGTGTGGAATGCTACTGCTCGATCCTATTCAAAAAGAAACCCTACCTGCAGGAATTTTACCACCCACTAGCTGTAACCCTTAGTTGAAATTTTTAAAAGCATGAAGATAGAGTTCATTTCATGGTAGCCACACAAAATCATGCTTCCTTGTAGTCCCCTTAAATCATATAGTACTATAAAACTCTTTGATCCTAATTCTGATTTTCTACTCATATAATTCATAAAAACTCATTTTTTTCTTATGCACATATAACTCATCCTCCCACTTAACGAAATTATAATGATCAGTATTACTATTCTTTATCAAACACTGCATTGTGGTGAACCATAGGATGAAGGTAATCCTTTTTCTTGAGTAACTTGGTGACCCATTATGTCTGAATTTTGGTTCATTTTAGCCCTTTGTGGCTTCCTTATTCCCTTTGTTAAATTAAAGGAAAAAAAAAAGATAGAATAACAGCATCAAGAGTAGCTTGTAAGCAGACAGATGATAATCCATCACTTGGTCAGGTGCTATAAAGAGCATCACATGATATGAGCTTCAGATATGGCAGTATCTTTCTAATTAGGGTATAAGGAATATCGGGAGAATGGTGCATATATGATAGTGGAAGATCAGGGATGGGCTATAAATTGTTCATGGGAACATCTCCATTCTTAACCACCTTACTCTAGCCAAAAACCATTGAATGCTGGTGCAGGCAAGAGACAAATGCAGCACCCCACAACTTTGCCATCACTCATTTTTTATTCTGTCATACATTTTCTTTCAGTGACTTATGTTCCTATCTCCTTATCATTGCATTAAATAACTATGTATAGGTTTTTCCCCTTTTAGCTAGGAACCGTTTAAATGAGCAGCTGGTTAGAATCGATCATGTGAATCCCTGAAATTAGAAGAGAAAGCAGACTATAATTAAACTAAAGAGAACTTGTTTTGTATAGGCTACTACTATATATTGAAAATTGTTGAAAAAGAACAAGGAAATAGCTGTATATACCATGGGAAATTCCCAAAGAAAAGTATGAAAACATAATAATAAAAAAAAAAGGCTGAGCGAAGAAAGGAACAAGACAAGGAAAAAGCTTCTTGCTAAAAAGCTACATATGAGACACAGGAGAATTAGTTATCGTTGCTTGAAAACACAACACAAGATTTTGACTTTCTTGAATGTTAACGAATTTGGATTCTTTCCTTATGTTTTACCTCTATCGCTAGTGCTCAACATCTATCTAAGCAGTGATTTCTTAAAAGAACAGTAGTAGTCTGTAAAACATTTGTTACTCTCCCAGCTCTGTTGTTGTGTCCAGTATCCTTTTGTTCGTTTCAAAAGAGATACCAGTATGGTAATATTCCCTTTTACATTTTATTTTTCAATTTTGGGTATCACTGTGCCAGCTCGAATACTCCTCTGCCATCTCCAATATCTAAGCCGGGCACGTGAAGAACTTGTTCATTCAAGATTAATTTCTTTATACCTGGATCTTGTTAAAAGTTTTAAGTCCCCTATGAATAGTACAAAGTAAAATTGTTGTTTTACAAAGTAAAATTGTTGTCTCACTGGGCGGGGGTTGAGTTCAGTTCTCAGATAGACGTACTGTTCCTTGTGAATTTACAAAAAAATATTTTGTACTCTTTTACATTGATCTTTTCAGGCATGTGGTACAGCACTGTCACCAGGTTTACCTCTTGCTTTGATTTCAACAATATTGTGATATTGGTACTATATAACATGGAAAATAATTGTAGGTTTAGCACAACAGATGATGCAACCATGGATGCCGTACTCTACGTCAGCACCAAAAACTTTTGCTTCATCTTTACATACTACAATATAGATTAAGTTGATTTTTGGGACATTAATTTTGTTTATCCATAACACATCCTAAGGCATTTTGCTCTTGGTGGCATTTCAGCTGTAAATGACAGCAAAAATATCCGCAGTATTATTATCTGAAGCATGCACAGACAGAGAGAGAGAGAGAGAGAGGCGCCCTAAAGGGGCAATTGGGAACATAGGAAACTTGATTGTCTACGGATCACAACATGATGATAACAATATCCATTATGTGCTTTCAAAAAAGAAGAATTTAAAGGAGCATATATATAAATATAATTTATCCGATGAGGAAGGGGGCTACGTAGGCAGGTTGTTAATCACTCCTGTAACATTTGTTTGAGGTGGAGACATGGATGGAGACTTGGTGAAAAATTATCGTCAATTGTGTCAGGAACGGAGGGTATGTCCAACCATGGGTAGTTTTCAAAGAGGTGCTAGCAAATCTGACGGGGCCATTGCCCTTAGGGCAACATGACACTATTCCTCGATGCCAAAATCAAGGTCCCATCCCATCCTATCCCATCTCATCCCATCCCCTCTCTTCCTCCCGGCCCCATGTCTAGATAAGTTATGGTGGCTGCAAATTGTTCATGGGCAAAACAAACCCTTCAACGCCAGACCAGAAATTTTGGATTTGCGGTCAAGATTTCCAGACTCTTTTCCTCTATAAATACAAGATTGTCTTCAGATTTTGACTTACTTGATCAATATATATATATATATATATATATATGGTTCAATCCACTAGTTATAAAAACCAATGGTTTTACATATCCTCCTGTTAAAAACATGACAGGCTAGGCAAGATTTTTAATATCTTTTAAAATGTTACAACACACCCCTGCAAAACCATCACTGAGAGATTCCCCTCCACGGTTTCTGTTTCTCGCGCAGGTCCCCCCCTCCTGAAAAGCACTTCTAGATTGAACTCCCCTCCTCCATCATATTATATATATATATATATATATTATCACAACAATAATTTAATGTGTAATTATGGCTTGCACTGTTGCACATCAATTTCTATTTTCTAATATTTATAAAAATTAATATATGTAATTATCGTAATTTTATATATATTCAAAAAATAATATTTATTTTAATAAATTTATCTCGACTATTTGTCTAACTTGGTATGACCGTTGTTATTTGAAAATTTTGTACTTGAAAATTTTATATGGAGTTAGAATTCATATCTTTTTCGTATTTGCAATTTGCTCAGCGGAATTGCAATCAAAACAGACATTGCTCTGACCTGATCAATGGCAGTGGTTATTGTTCTTGAATAAAAAAATGAAAAATAAAAGACAGGGTTGGGAATTGGGCCATTTGGACGCTAAAGTCAATTTTGTTTAGTCTCCTATAATTGTTTGTTGGACTAAGGTCCAATCTGCAATGAGTGGGAAACCAGAAAATTGGCCCACACCCACACTATCCAATGCGTTTATTGGGCTAGATCATGGTCACAACTAGCCCACCACTACAAGAAATCTATCCATGTGAAAGACTGAAACAAGTTCAAGTTAGAAGTCAGCCCAACAAGGATGCCCACCATCAAGATTTTGTCTCATTTGAAATTAATCATGTGCTGATTCCAAATCCCAAAAACTGCTATCGAACCAATGAGAGAAAGGTTCCTTGATTGACAAAGATTAGGCCATGAATTGATGGACCTCCAGGCTTTTATAATCTATGGAAATATACTTTTGGCTACAATATGCAAGCACTCTGTGCCAAAAATCTGAATCCGGTGACATTCAAGGACTCGTACCTCCCTACCAAAAGTACAGAAATGGAGCGAGACTTGTAATTTAATAAATATTCAGTGCCTGAAGTTTACTGCTGCAGGACTTGTGAAGCATTAAAAGCTTTTAAAGAGTTTCCTACCTACTTTTTTCAATGTTTGAGATTTGAATTAATTCGCAATCAATTTACAGAACTATTATCCGTAGTAAAACCTACGTTGGGCTACTGTTATATTGTGAATTGGCAGTCGTGACCAGACGTGACAATGGAAGCCATTAGGAAGCAGAATCAAGCACGCTGAGACAATAATTTTGACTGTTGACTTCCTCATCCGTGAGCTGTGAAACATCATCCTTAATTTGCATTAGTGTTATTCTCATATCATGTTATTTTCATATTAAACAATACATTTTCGATAACACCCATATCGAAGTCTATGGTGCTACACTCAATCTAAGGTGTGAAGTTGATTGATCGCTTCTAATCCAATCAACTTATCCTCTTCCTTTTTTTGCCATGATATATCAGAAACAAATATGATCTGACACATTTTTGAGGCCCTGCTTTGGCCTCAGAGGATGCTGAATATTTGAAGAGAATAAAGCTTTTAATTCCTCGACTGTTGTAAAGGATTATGATTCATTCCTATGGACTGTGGAGCCAGCCGCAAGTAAGAGTTTCGGATATGGTATGTCTGTAATATCAAAGTGCACATGCAGATTAATTGTGTCAAGCTCATAAAATCATAAACCAAGAGATAAGGAAACTCTTGGGCATGACTTGGAATGATAAAGCATGCCTTTTTTTCCTTCTTATCCTTAACTACAAGTATCTGCAGTTTCATTAAAGCTAGGATTGTTCATGAAATGTGTAAGGCCATGCCATATAACGGCGGTATCTGTCATCTTAACAACAATGACAGGCTGTTTTTATGTTTGATGTCGAACTTGGACCCACGATGGCTGCTGATGTGAGATATTCAGCAATGGAGTTTTCATGTATTAAGAATGATTTTTTATTGGCAACTTACAGCTTGCTGCCTTCCGTTAGTTAATTTGATGAAGTTATGGTGGAATTGAATTAGAGTGAGGGCTAGTCGACTGGATGAGATAGGGTTGTGAATCTGTTTCTAAAGTTTGAGAAACCAGAAATTAGAAAACTATTTAATATAGGAAGAACCTGCATCCTCAGCCTCAGTTGAAGTTTTAGGATCATGTGTTGTGCAATCGTCCTTCCCATGAAATTATTTGTATATTATTACAATTATGA